TCTGCCTCATCTTGGCGAGTGTCTGTCATCCGCACATCACCAGCAACTTCTTGTGCAATGATACCCGCAGCAGCCACAAGAGAATCTGTAAGTGTCGACTTTCCTGAAACTCAAAGAAAAAAGACAAAAAGAAAATAAGGACTGAACAAGATATATAATTGACAGTGCATAATTAGTTGGTAGGATCAAAAAAGGTTGTATTACAGTTTCAATCAGTTAATAACATGGTAATAGCCTTTCAATCAATGAAATCGATGAAAAATAAGAGAATAAAAGTCCAGGCATGTAAAAATATTGGCCAACGGTTATGCTGCATGAGAACCTCTCAACTAAAAATTATTTGGTGCGTAAGTGAACTAGTAAAGTTGGTGCGCAACTTGAATTTAACATATGAGATATCTCTCAACTACATATATTTGGTTGAGTATAAGTGGACTGGTATAGTTGGTCCGCAACTTGAATTTAATGTCCAGCAGAAGGATTTTTTTTATCGTGTGAACTAACATATGAGATATCTCAAAAAGTAGTCCAGAATATAAGATAAATGAATGAACAAAATGTCAATTCTCGAACAATAGTCGGCCATCAAAGAGTAAACTTGTAAATTACCATGATCGACATGAGCAATAACAGACATATTACGAATGTTATGCTTGTAGTCCATAATCCGACGAAGCTCCTCTGCTGTAAACTTCACCTGAACACACAGAATTTTTAAAATACATTAACTCATAAGAAAAATTATGAAAGTGAAGAAGCACTTAGGACATCACTCAATTAACATCCTCGCGAGGAGAGTATACTGACCATCTTGACAGGTCTTCAAACTTCACAACGTCCAATTATAAAAGATAATTAACTGCAGGGAAAAAAATTACTGTTAAAACGATCAAACAAGCAGATCAGCGTAGCTTCGAAATTTAAAAGTTATTTTCAACATAATATAAATAGAACGAATCTCAACACGTGCTTAGCTTCCTCGTCAGCTTAAACGCCATTGATTTAACGAATACAATTGTTTCGACACTTGAACGAAATGACTTTACTCATACCGTACAACAATATTTCTTCCGATTATTCAATCCATCGAATACTGGCGACTACTAAATAGATCTCGTAAGCATTAACCGAATATAAGTGAGTGAGAAAACAGATCTTAAAAGCGCGCGGGGACGACAATACACACGGCCACGGATAAATTCGGCGGAGAGAATGCTTACAAGATCAGAATCTACGGAAGAAAAAGAGTTAGAGATGAGAAGGAAGAAGAACCTGAGAGTCCAGAAGAGAGTTACAGGCAGGCACCGAAACAGCGTGCGGAAGAGGAGGAATAAGAGGTGGTGGGAAATGATAACAGCGCTTAATATGCGGTCTCAATGAGGTATTTCCCTCTGCGCCACCTAGGGTTTGCGTTTGGGCTGGGCCAAGTCAACGGACCTCGGATTTTGTCCACATTAATTGTAAAAGTAGCCTTCTTTTTTTTTTGAAGAGTAGCCTCCTGGAAATTATGTTTACACGTCTGATTTGAACGAAAAAAAGTAATAATAATTATAATTGAATACGGTTAAATTACAATTTTAGCTATCAACTTTTAAATTGATGTATAATATACTTTTTAAGTTTAAAATTCTTAAATAAATCTCTAAACTTTTGATTTCATGTATAATACTTCCTAACCTAATCAACTTTTGTTTTAAATAACAACTCTATTGAACATAAAAATAAAAAGAAAAAAGAAAAAATTATGTCTAATAGAATCTAAACTTTTAATTATGTATTTAATTGATAAACTAAAAGTCGAGTGACCTGTTAGACACAAAATTAAAAGTTCAATAATCTATTAAACACTTTTTAAATATAAACTTAAAAATTTAATGGTAATAATTGCTTTTGGGTATATTTAGTGACAAAATTAAAAGTTCAATAATCTATTAAACACTTTTTAAATATAAACTTAAAAATTTAATGGTAATCATTGCTTTTGGGTATGTTTAGTGACGGATCCAATAACTTGTTCATGGAGGCTTTATGTATATAATAAATATTTATTTCTTGCCAACTTGAATTTAACTCAACATATTTTGACATTTGTGATATAGGACTTGAACCCGGCCACCCACGGGCTTGGCGTCCTGATCCACTATTGAGTATTTTCAGACCGGCGAAAGTATGCTGTGAATTTCTTTGGGACGTATAATTAAATTGTTTATAAGATGATTTTACATTGAACCAATATACTTGTAATCCATGAACTGCCATATATATATTTCAAATACGATTCAGAGCTCTAAAGAATGATCCCGACAGGTAAATTAATTTGAAAATTGATATTAATAATCGCCAAGAAACTTCCACCATACTCCATAGTAATAAATTTCCATAGAATGAAGAATAACATGGAGAGAGGCAATCAAAACATTTGGTGAAAATAAAAAATTGAATCATCACCACACACTTACCCTTTGGAGTATGTTGGAGTCACTCAATTATTCTTGAAAAAAGAAATCAAATCAAATCAAGACTAACAGAGACAAATATGATACATCAAAATTGTTATTAAATAACGAAATAGACTAGAGGAGAAAAGCATAGTACATTTGCTCGAGTAGTTAGACATATAATGTCTTCGCTACTCTTAAGTTCAAATTCTCACCCTTCATTCTAAGGACTTTCAAGAAGCTTCGAACTTAAAAATCTAACCACTTGGTGTAGTACACGCATGTTCTAGGCGAAATGACGCCGTTTGGCGTACAATGACTAATCCGAGGACAGACTCCACAAGGAATGGAAGCCATGGCCCCCGTTTTTGGCTCCCCTTTGACACCTCCTTTGGCATAGCACTTATAACAGATCTTCCCAATAGGGATAAAATCAAATTCCCCTGATCCAGTGCTCTTCACCTCCATGACTTCATTGTCCAAAACCAGAGCATTTACAATCTCCTGAATTTGCTCTCTAGACAAGTCCACCTTGGACGCTCCACTCTTTTTGAAAGAGTCCACAATCCCTTCAATTGTAGCCACCTTCATCTTTTGTATCATTCTTCCACAGAATCCTTTAAGAGTATTGATGTATTCCCTGTCGAGCTTCCCCTCGCTATACCAATTACCGCCCGTTAGTTCTTTCGATGGCTCGAAATCTTTCGACAGGTAGAATTTCTTCCCTTTGTTCTGATAATGTTCAACCAGTTTTATCATGCCTTTGGCTTGGAGGGCTTTGAGTGATTTAGTTACTATACTGTCAGCATACTTTGTTTCTCTTTTAATGTCTCCAATCCAAATCCCCATGCTTTGTTTGCTGCAAATCAGATCATAGAGCACTTTTTCATGCTCGATCAGAGCTCCTCCAGAGCTTGAGTCTGGCCTTTTTCTTTTAAGTGATGAAGGTCCTTGTGATCTGCTCATTCCTATAACATTAAATGACATAAATATACACAATACAATTCACTACAGAAGATAATGCTTTCATAAGATTGATATTGAAATTTAAATTTTTGAAGAGATGTGAGGCCAACGTGGCTTGGAAAAAATGTCATGAGAAATAAGCAACATATCATCACTTTGTTCCAGCGATTCATAGGCATAACTGCATAAGACAAGTCAAAATGATATCGTTTTGCAAGCTAAAGAACTTTTCAAATCCAATGCCAGATCTCAGTGGCATGTGTCACTATGAACAATAATCCAAAAAAAATCATGGAGTTTAGTCTGCAGTACAAATTAATGGACCATTGCAATTTATTCTTCTAAAAGTGAGAGATGGATAAAGGGAGAGTATGTGAATTTTGATTGGCAGAACAACTCAATAAAAGGGCCTTAAGAAAAATGATTGATTGGTACACTATCAGAAAAAATGAACAAAATACTCAACCCCCCGCCCCTTATGTGTGAAAATCATCTATATTTACTTTGAGATACACTAAATAAATGAACCTCAGATTAAATACCCGAGTAAACCTATGGAGAAATCAAGCAAAATACCTGACCTGAAGGTCTACGAGAAGCGCACTAGAGGCTAGGGTTTAAGCAATCCGGAGGAAACCAACTTGAGAGACGGCGGAGATAGGGCGTGCCGGCGGAGACGTGAGAGGCCGAGCGGCGGCGATATTAGTTTTGATCGGAAAATAGAGAGGGGACGAGGGGAACCCTCAGTTTCTCTAGGCCGAAGGGGTGGTACTGATGCCTATTCCATTGGGTTTTTTTCCTTTACCCACGCTCGTGATGTAATTTCGAAAATGCCATTATGTTGGTAAACCGTAAATGCAGTATGTAACTTTTTTTCTTTCTTTTTTTAGGTTAGGTAGCCATTTCACCGTGTACTCAAAAAGAGTGTATATATATATATCTGAAATTATTTTTTTTAACTACAATATGTGGACGTGGATGGATATCTGAACTCTTTAACCTCATGATTTGATCCTATGTGATTTAACCCACTAAACTATGCTCTAGTTGGCTATACGTGTGTAAATTGTAAACTGTATTTACACGCATGTCAATTTAGTTTAACTATAACTTAACCTTAAAAATATAAATATATGAGTCGTTAAAATATATCACTGATGTTATTGCTTTTCAGCTCAAATAGATAGGGGGGAGAGGTCGAAGTTTAACTCAACAGTTGTTGGAGGCCAATTATCGACTATCACGTGTCAACATCAAATGCCACCTTGAGCAAAATAATGAGGAGAATCAATTACTCTTTTCATATTGATTCAAGACTTGACAGCTTGGCAAGTGGAGGACGAACCGAGCAATTTTCTACCTCTAGCCGACCTTGAAGAGCACCTGCATACGTGAAGACAACAAGGATGTTCACCAACGACGTGCCACATTTCTCAGGCAATCGGAGAGTCGTTGGAGAGCTATCAAAAATCCTGTCAGAAGCTCACCTTTATAAATAAAGACCCTCACCTCCCACGCAATGTACATGAAACTATTTATCTCTAGAGGAATAGATCGGACTGTGTACTGGCAAGAACGTCGGAGTGCTAACTTTGTTTTGTATGTACTTCGAACTTCGATTCACTTCATACGAGCTTCGCATATTCGAGTTTGGTTGATTTTTCAATTAGACATCTTGTTATTTCTCTAGATATAGGAGTTTCAATCATCTCCATCCCAACATTTGTCGTACTCGCCAATAAAAAAAATGTGGATATTTAAAAAATTGTAAAGTGTTTTAACTATGTGTTTTGTTCGTGTTGACATGGACATTGTTATTTTGACCTCAACATATTTTATTACAATTTACGACACAAGTTATTCCATATTGTTTTATAGTGCTTATTGTTGATATTTTCTGGTTATTATTTTAAGAAGTCTTAAGTGCATAATTATCTTATTTGTGGAATGACAAATAATTGCATTAGGGAATCTTCCTCCTTCATATTTCAATCTCGCATGTGTGAGGTGACATGGACAGATGATAGAATTAGTGTTACTTACTCAAATGGAACTTTTGACATATGTGCTAGATGTGCATGGATAAAAAATTACCATGATAATTTAACTAAATGAAACATTTATATAAAATGTCAACGACGACAATGTTTGTTTGTAAAGGATAAAATTGTTGTTTGTCGTTTGATCATTCATTTGAACACGGTACAGTAAAGATAAATGTGGATACAATTTATTACGAGCGAAGAGCACGTTTGAAATCACGAGTGGTCATTTGTGATCTTTAGGAGAACAAACTAGCCATTATAAATAAAAGCACGTGACATACCACTACTGTCTTTGCTTTGAGATTCTTGCAACTAAAGTGGGTATGAAACTTGAGACTCAATTGGATATTTCATCTATCTTGATTGGATTAAATTTTTGTAAAGTGAAAACTATGGATCGGAGGAGGAACCCACGTGGTTTTAATAAGATAAATGTTAATAATGTCGATATTAAATTATTTAGTTACTTCTATAATTCACAGGTAGAATTTAAACATTTGATATTTTGATAAATAAACCTATCAATTAATTACTCAAATATCTAAAATTGATTTACATATAAAATTTAACGTTTAATTAGATATAGTCGAAACACTTATTTCCGACCAACAAGTTATGAGTTGGAATCTCACTCATGCTATTAAAAAAAAAGTGTAGGCAAAAGTAGTTGTTCCAGAAAAGGAAAAGAGGGCAAAATAAACAAGACACATTCACTTCCATGGAAATATCATAATATAAACTGGGAAGTTTTTGTTTGTTATTGTAGTTTTCGGAACCTTTAAGAATACTTTTTTGTTTTTGTTTTTGTTCTTTTGGAACTACTGACAATTGTCAAGACGAGAAAAAAGTGAAGCATCGACGAACACAAAAGGAAAGGGAAGAGAATACGGATCTCTGCTTCTTTCCTCTCTGGATTCCTCCCACACAAACTACAGTTGAACTGTTGAACATACAAATTTCATACGAAATTAGGGCTACTCTATACCAAAGAACTTGTTCATCTCATAGACCGGATTCATCCAGGCAATGCAGTAGTAGCTTCGTATAGGTACTTGATCTGTTTATAGCATTTCATTTGTTTCTCTCAATTTTTAACGTCCAGAAAAAGCGAAGAAAATATCGTCAGGTTTTTTGCTGAATAGTTTGTTTTGACCAACTTTATGGTCGCATTAGATCTTAGCACATCACATTCACTCTGAAGTAACCAGTTGTGAGCTTCGATCTGTTTATGGTGATCGAAAGTTTTGGCTAACAGCTTCTATTTGAGTACTTGTGTGCTATGTTCATTCGGATATTGGCTGAGAACTGATGGTTAAACTGAAACCAATTATTCGACATGCTTAAAGGAGCTTCGTGTCGCAGGCATGTTGGCGACAGAAACATAACATAACATGTTTTGGAATAGAGTACAGGAGAAGCTTTTATTCGAGGAAAAGGCATGGGTGGATGATTTATATCCTGGATAATTAAATGGTTTTAATAATCTATAACTTTTCAGTACGGATTGAAGTGTTCTATCGATAAATATATTTTTGTTGTATACTTGCATTTTGCTCACCTGGTAAGAGCAATAATGCTATCAAGTTTAATGGGGTGGCTGTAAAAGTAGAATCGCGTCACCCCTGTAGTAACTTAATGTTAGTATGACTTAAGATTTTTCTTTATTGTGAAATTGACTGTTTATTTAACTCGTGAGGCCAGGTACCAGTTGTTTCTGCAGCTCAGGAGGACCATGTCGAACAAGTTAGCTATAATGACAGGGTTGTATTGTGGAACCTACGAAATGCAGACTTCTTAACTGACTTCGTACAAAGGAATGCCCAGTATGGATGTTGAGAAGTCTAATATTATGCGTGCCGAAGAAATTAAATGCCTAGCCAATGAAGCATTTACAGGTAACACATGCTACTTTGCTTAAATACATGGTGTATATTTTTTTATTTGTTCTTGTTGTTGTTGTTGATGATTGTTTAATTTTATTATATATATATTTTCTCATTTTCCTTTTGCTTTGACAAAGATAATAAGTGATGAGTGATTTGAACTCTGATTGAATTATCTATGCCAATTGTCAACTGATTTTTGTTAGTTAGGTTGTTATTAAGAGACATTTGTTTATAAATCCATACCATAATATATATATTTCAGTTCATGATGTTTTTGTAAAATGGACTTCCATTCATGACATAAATGAGAAAAAAAAATTGTCCTTACCCCAGACAACAGATTTTTCCCTCTTCAATGATATGATTGACAATAATGCACGTATACAGCATATATTATTTCTCACTCAATTAAGACTATTTCTTCAATAATTACATTTTGGTGATTTTATTGTAAATACGCTTTCTGTCGGTTGAGCTGTTCTAACCTTGTTTTGAATTCCAGCTCACAAATATGTTCAAGCTATTGATCTATATACGCAATCAATTGAACTCAACAACCAGAATGCTGTATATTGGGCAAATCGTGCATTTGCACACATTAAGCTAGAGGAATATGGCAGTGCGCTAGAGGATGCATCAAAAGCTATCGAAGTTGATCCTAGATATTCCAAGGCATAGTTTTAAGATTAAGCTTTAGTTATTTTTTATGCCCTTTTCTTTCACATTAATAATATTATTTGCATGTATTTTGAATATATACTTGTATATTGTAATGTCAGGGTTATTACAGGCGTGGTGCTTCTTATCTTGCCATGGGGAAGTTCAAAGAAGCACTTAAAGATTTTCAGCAGGTGCTTTTAATTAGGGTTCTTTTGAATATTGCAACAATATATTTCTGTCTGCTTTCCTTTCCACGAGCTGTTCAAAGTTTTTTTTTTTTTTTTTTTTGAATCAAAGGTATTCAAAGTTGATCTTGTATGCTCAATTTTTGGATGTGCATGCTGCAGTACTTGAATTGTAACTTATACAAACTACCTGGTTTGTATCATTGATCAAGCCTTCAATATTAAATCATGCCACTTTTTACACGATAGTTTTATAATATTTTGTTGCAAGTTAGATGCATCTTTTTGTTCCATCATTATATTAATTATAAGTAGATCAGTTTGCATTCTTTCATAGAATGATTTTCTTTGATTTTCAGTTCTGCAAAGAATGATTTTATTTGATTTGCAGTTCCACAAAGGATGAGTTTCTTTGATTTGCAGTTCTGAAAAGGATCATTTATGATTCAGCATCAAGAATTACTTTGCTGTTATTTTATCTCTTTCTATTGTTGCATTCTTGTTCATGTATCTGTAACTTATTTTTTGAGTTGAAACCTTTGTTCTCATAGGAAAAGGTATCCATTGCATGTAAGCCTGAGATCTCCTTCCTAAACATCTTCCTTTTGACGTCTCATACGAAAATATATTAATCCGTGATATCAATTGTTCTAGCAGAATTTTGATTCGTCAGTTCCTATTAGCTACATTTATGCTATTTAGTTTTTTTTTTTTCATCACTTCCATTTATAGTTGCAATGATCAGAAAGTCTGGCAGGTGAAAAATGGAGAAAATTCATTCGAAGGTCTCTCTTGTTTGGCACTTGTTGTTTAGACATTTTAGCTCCTGGTTGTATTTTACCGGAAGCCATTAGTTCAGTCCCCGAGGCTTCTCAGATTTGTTGCATGCTGTGTGGAGGACTTCCTAATTTTTAAAGGCATACTTGAATTGCAGCATCCTGGAATTGACTTCTTTTTTGTTTTTTTTTTAATATTAATTTTTTATGAACTAAAGCTCAAGAAGATGTGCCCTAATGATCCTGACACTATCAAGAAGTTGAAGGAATGTGAGAAAGCGATTATGAAGCTTAAGTTTGAAGAAGCTATTGCTATTTCAGTTCCTCAAAGGGATGCCGTGGTCAATCCTATTGATTTCCACACTGTAGGTATAATTTTCATTCCCATATTTTTTAGTTTATTCTGCAATGCTTCAGAGTTTTTATCTTTATTTAACGAGCAATTCCACTGGAGCTAAGTTGAATATTGTTGCCATTGAATTTTATTTGATATTTGATCGTAGGATGAATTTTGGGGGTATCAACTAATTAGTCAATGACTTCTTTGAGAGGAATGTTGAGGAATTTCTTGGTGTAAGAAAAGATGACGACATACGACACATTGACAATACATTTCAGAAATTTTAAGTTAACGAATACTTCTTTTTAGTCAGCATCCTAGGTTTGCTGCTACCGTTCTATTTTGATTTTTTTAAAAGGAAAAATATTCGAAAACCTTTTTTAAATTTAATTAATTAATTTATTCTTATCAATATTAAGAATTGAGAACTCTGGCAGAAGACAGAATATCAAGTTCATTTGCGTTTAAAGTACAGAGCATCTCTATGATTATCCATGTTGGTTATACTTTTTTCTTTAATCCATCATTATAGGAGTGAGCCCAAGTTCATCATCATTTACTGTCCAAATGGCTATAGTAGCAGCAGCAGTAGCAATTACAGCAATTGCAATTGCAACTCTTAGCACAGAAGTTGCCGCAGTAGTAGCTGCAATAGCAGTGGTGGTGCTGGTAATCCTGGTCACACGATGGTGGGGTGGCAGTGAAGTCAGTACCAATGCAATGACTCTAGGTTTTTTCTCTTAGAACTGTCAGAATCTCTTGAGTTTTAGAATTCATTAACTTGATTTGAAAACTGATGAGCTCATGTTTTAGTAATGCACTTCTAATCGAAGACTTTATTCTAGACTATATTCTTAACTTTTTCAAAATTTATTTTAGTGATCAAGTTACAATGTAGTAGAAGTTCGCCTATTTTTTAATATATATATTTAATAATTATTATAAATTTATTGCACCAAGAATTGTTGTTTTATGCATTTCAGTGAGTGGTGAGAAGTAGGTTAGTTCTATTAATGGATTTTTATCTCATATTCAAAAAGCAGTCAAAGAGGTATAGAATTAACTAATTAATGCATCAATAGTATTTGCATTATTTGATTTGCCTTTACTGCTTGTTAATATTAATTCTTCTTGTAAGAGTTCATCATGTGTAGAGGATTTATTAGTTGCCTTCTTCCCTAGGCACCAACTATAGTTCCATCTTTTTTCCTTAAGTGTAGATGTTGATCCTCAATATTCTGGAGCAAGAATAGAGGGAGATGTCATAACATTGGATTTTGTGAAGAAAATGATGGATGATTTTAAGAACCAGAAATCCTTACACAAGCGGTATGTGTTGCCCCTCCAATAATAGGTAATAATTACTCTATTTAGTATGCCTAGTGCGCTGTGTTGTTTTAATGATACATTTTTCTTTAGATATGTATTCCAGATTCTGCAGCAAACAAAAGAAATAATGAAAGCTCTTCCATCTTTAGTTGATATAACTGTTCCTGAGGGTGAGGGCAAACATCTCACAGTTTGTGGTGATGTGCATGGTCAGGTCAGTAGTACCTTCTTTTAGAAATGCATATTCGATTCTTAGGTTTAATGTCAATTTGAACACACAAACCTAAGAAGGGACATCTTGTCCCTTGGTCCCCTAGTTTGTTGTCCCTGCTTTGGGGTTTTTTGAATGGAAGTGTTGCTCTGCTTTGAATAAAAAAATAATAAAAAAATTGAACACACTAACAACTCTTTATGGCCTAGGCAACTGGGCCTTGACCTATGACCTAGATGGCGATTCTCCATAATCACAATTAACGGCTTAATTTTTTTTTTGGAGCTTTTCTGAACAAACTTTTAGGTAACCTCTATGCATGTTTCATTGACACAAAAATAGAATTATGGATTCTTGCATTCTGCAGTTGGCGAGCAGTCAAACACATATTACTGTAATTAGAGTCATATAAGTGCAGTCAAAAGATCCTATCCAAAAAAAAAAAAAAAAGTGCAGTCAAAACAGTTTTGTAATTATTATCTCTTTTTAATCCATGCCAGTTGGATCCTTATTCGTAATTTCCTTTGGGCTTGTAGGGTGTTAGTGAAAGTGCTGGTTTTGTTTTCTTATCATTTTCTGTAATAAGTTGCATCTCTTGATAACGGAATTATCACGACCTTTTTAATTCCTGATAATGATGTCTTGCAGTAATCTCCTCCACCATAGATGTGGTACTTGAACGGTCTGTTTGTTCTAACAATTGAATTGTTCTAAGAGCAACTCCAACAATTTTATTCGCATCAACTTTTTCTTTCGTTCTTCTGTCTGCATGTTTTTAGACATTGGCCTCCCTCATGCTTTCATCTTTTAATTCTTGCAGTTTTATGATCTCTTAAATATTTTTGAGCTGAACGGTCTGCCCTCGAAAGATAATCCATATCTGTTCAATGGTGACTTCGTGGATAGGGGATCATTTTCTTTGGAGGTCATCCTCACCTTGTTCGCATTTAAATGCATGTCTCCATGTGGTAAATTGAATACAATCCCTATTGTTCTGAGCCTCCATATTTTGTATTTGAGGTTGGACTCTGCATATTTACTCTTATAGCAGATATTATATGATCATGAGGTTTGCATCAACCAGTCATATTGTTTACTTTATATAAACTATGTCTGGGATTTGCGTGTTTTTGAGTTCAATATAGCAAGTTTCTTTAGTCTGAAATAAGTTAAGGGAGTTGCGCAGTATAAGATAATCTACTTTTAGTTGTCAAAGCGTTTCTGGTGCTTTTATTTCGTGATAATAACTATTCCCGACATTTTCTTTTATGCTCACTCTTTTAAGAATGACTCAGCAAATTCCACCATCTAATTGATCCTGTTTGTCTTACTCAGCAATACATCTCACTAGAGGAAATCATGAGAGCAAGAGCATGAACAAAATGTATGGTTTTGAAGGCGAGGTTATGATGAAGCTGAATGAAACATTTGTGGAACTGTTTGCAGAAGTATTCTGTTGTCTGCCTTTGGCTTATGTCTTGAATGAGAAGGTTTTTGTAGTTCATGGAGGCCTTTGTGGTGTTGATGGGGTAAAACTCTCTGACATTAGAGCAATAAACCGTTTTTGCGAACCTCCCGAGGAAGGTAAGTTGATCAATTGGTATCCTTTTATGCGGTTCCTTCCATTTATGTTTTAATTATGTTGAGATGGAACTGGTAATCATATTTTTGCCGAAAATATTTCTGCTGTATCATACTTGGTAGTTTATTCCATCAGTGTTTGATAGCACTTCCATTTCCTTTGTTGGCGGTCTTTGCATAACCTTTGCTACTTACTCTTATCAAGGCAAAGGCTCTGTAATACAAGAGCCTTACGTTCTCCGTATTGAAGTAATGGATTACTAATTTCCTTGTCCATTTTCACTTAAGGATTAATGTGTGAATTGCTATGGAGTGATCCACAACCTTATCCTGGACGAGGCCCTAGTAAACGTGGTGTAGGTATTTCCTTTGGCCCAGATGTAACTAAAAGATTTTTGCAGGAAAATAATTTAGGTAATTATGGCTTAATTTTATGGTTTAGCTTGTCTATTTAATGACTTCGCATACTACATTCATTTTATAACTTGAGGATCCTTCACTGAAACCAGACTTAGTCGTGCGATCTCACGAGGTGAAGGAAGAAGGCTATGAAGTTGAGCATGATGGTAAACTCATCACCATATTTTCTGCTCCAAATTATTGTGATCAGGTAAGTCGTTTTCTTTAAAATATGTGAATGTTATAATAGGTAAATACAGTAAAAATTAAAATAACTTGGATCTGATCACTCCACTTGTTAGCCTTGGATTGCTAACCGTGGGACTGAAAGTTAGAGCCACATTGGAGTATTTTGTTATGTCTCGGTTTTCCATACTATTTAATGCTTTATTTTAATATCTAAAAATGCAAAACGGCAATAGGATTAATAGGTTTAAATCTTATTTTGATTCTATTTTTCTCCTAATATCTTGGAATGTTATTTTCTAACATGATGCAAGATTTTGTAAATGCACAACAGAAATTGAACGACAAAGGATCAAAATGGAGTTTTTATACAAAAATCAGGGTTCAAAGTTTCATTTGGAAGTATTAGAATCCAAATGAAATAAATTTAAGAGTTTAGGGATTAAGTTAGTATTTGAATCCTGCTGTTCAAGGATTTAATCTGGTTGGCCCTACATCTGTCTAACTCTTCTAGTTCTTTTTTATTTTTATTTTTATTATTTTTTTAATAATGAAACACTAACTATTAGAAGAGAAAAAGAGAGAGGTAGATGAAGTATGTCCCAAGCCAACCAAGGAGTAACGAAAGGGTTCCCCAGGTTTGAATGACTAAGTTAGAATAATTACAGGTTATTTTCTCTTTCTTTATAGAACATACCAAGAAGAAGCAACATAAGTCACTAATTCCCATAATTCAGACCAACCCCTATACTTTCTTGGAATGTTCCTCCTCGACTTAGGGAACTCAGGGCATGTTTGAGACTGATTTTAGTATAGCTAAAATCAAATTTGTCATTTTCTAAAGTTTGTTGTATATCATTTTAAAAATTACAAAATTTAAGTGGAAATGATTTTGACAATGATGAAAAGTGATTTTAGTCGTGCTAAAATTGCTTCCAAACATACCCTAATGTCAGACATATAAGTAAATGACAAAAGTGAGTCTAGCGATGCCAAAAGCTCTCCCAAATATATTCTTTGGTATAAGAGGGGTTTGCACATGTTAAATCATGGAGCATTCCATGGCCTCTGATGACTGATCACAGTAGCTTATGATTGCTTTCTGCCGTAGAAGTTAAAATGATCATCCCTCTCATATTCTCGGGAGATGCTGCTGCTGCTGCCATATTTGACTATTATATGTGAGAGCATGATGATCCATAGTTTGGTTGACATTGATAAGCTATCTTCATATGGCAGATGGGTAACAAAGGTGCTTTTATTCGATTCAAAGCACCCGATTTGAAGCCAAACTTCGTGACGTTCTCAGCTGTGGTCAGTTTCTCCATCCTCCTTCGTATTCTCCTCTAGCTTTCTTTCTCAACTCGGCATTTTCTTAAGGGTAACGTGATTTGACTGTTGATTTTCTTTGGTCCAGCCACATCCTGACGTGAAGCCTATGACATATACAAACTTCCTCCAGTTCTTTCAATAGCTGACTTTAACTGCTTTTACACCCAGATTTTATGTTCTACACAGGAACCCTAGAAGAAGCTGGTGCCAAAATGGCAAATTCAGTACAATCTATTGATTCTTTTACATACATTAGTTTTTAATTGTTTTACTTCTGACTTGTAGTTCGGGGTTTCCCTTTATTTTCTGGCCGAGTTGGGTTTTCCCTTCATTTTCTGTCATTCCTTTGAATATCACAATCTTGTGACTTGTCCTATGATATTGACGGCAGTTTATTTAGTTACAAAGTTCAGGAGTTGGTTTGCAATTTTGCCTGCCGAAGAAAGTCATCTTTGTATTGTATTGAGTTATTATCATATATTACATATGTCTGTAATGTATTTTATTATTGATGATAATAGAAGATGGTGAAATCTTGAAGCCTCTCCCTGACTGGACCAACCTCTTTCTCATCAGCTCAGCACGTCCCTACGATCAAAATATCATCTTATCATCTGCTCTATCTTTTGTTTCAAATCGTTTGTTTTCGTCTCAGTACATTAAACTTCAGTTTATTTTAGTTCTTGTATTTTTAAAATGTCTATTATGGTCCCTATATTTAAAAGTGATCAATTTAGTCTCTATTTGCTTAACACAAATTTTATATACAATAAAATAATTAGTACAAATTTTTAATTATATTTCAATAAATTTAATAAGTAAAGCGTCGTGTTAAAATTACGATCAAATGAACCAAAATAGTATTTAACTTTTCAAAGCATATAGAACTCTTTTTGCAGGCAAAACTTAGGGTGGTCGGTCTACCATAATTTAATAGTTGGTTAATGTATCTCAACTATCCTTGAATGCAAGTTTGGTTTTTTATTTTTGTACTTGTGTTGCAATATATATATTTCTTTTAAATGAGAAGTGCTTCTAATTTTGCATTATTGACTAACATAATTGATTTTAGTAAACCATTTTACCATCATAAAAAATTAGAGGTCTATTCCTTACACTTTTCACCATTTCAATTCAATTCCATCAGTGTTACATGAGAATCTATTTTGGTCCATAAATCTTATGATATTACATGACAAGCATTTATTTTATTGAATTCAATGAAAAACAATTTAATAATAATGATCAGACAAATTTTATATAGATTTTTTGTAATACAACAAATTTTATATAGATGGATCAATGATAAGACATTTCAACATATGATAAAAATGAAATAAGTATGAATGTGGGTGCACTAATATAAGATTTAAACATACTATATAATTTTTAAAGAGATAATTTTGTAACAAGGTAACGTGAAATTTCATTAGAAGTAGCTCTCTTCACATAAATAAATCAGTTTCACATAACTAAAATTATCAATTGTGGGTTTCTTTAAACAATTATATTAAAAAAAAAAAAACCCCCGGAAAGTTTGCATTTGCTGAAAATTAAACAGAAATATTGCTAGAGCAAAATAAAAAGGGGTTACACGCTTCTGACTCTGCCACGTGGCCATTCCCACCCACGAAAACGGCATATATTAAAAAAAAAAAAAAAGTGAAATTAGAATTTAGAAATTTTAGAAATTAGAAATTAGAATTTAGAATAGTATTCTTATACAGTCGTTATCCAGGCTCCTACGACGTTGTCCTCGTCGTTTCGAGGGTTTTTTCTTTTTTCCATTCGGTGCGAGGTCGTCTCCGTCGTCGTTTTGGGGTTACTTCAGCAGCCAGCCAGGTTCCAACGCCTTCCCTCCCTTTTTTTTATGCTTCCTTTAATTTTCCACACCATTTATATTCTCTGCCTCTGCGTCACTCCTCCCACCTAGGGTTTCCTTCCCTCTCGATTTCTCCCTTTCTTCCCTTCGATTCATCTCTTGCAATTCTGCGCGCCAAACCCAGTTATAAATTGTTAAGGAACGTCTATAGAGATCCAATTCCGAGGATGTTGCGTTTGCGTATTTGTCGTCGAATACTGAATGAAGCTCCACTTCCACTGGTGAATGTTTTGGCCAGTCCTGATTCCCAGGCAGACGCTCTGGGATCTTTTAGTTATGTGTTGGTTGTCTTGGTATTATTTATAATGTTGATCAGGTCTCAGGCGCGTTGTTCTTTGCAGTATTTTAATCTTGCTCCGTTAGTTTATGTTAAAGGATTGAATGAACCGAGCGCATTAATATGTTCCCCATGCGTATTTGTACAAAATATGATCAAGCTGGGATTTTGGTTAGTTCTTTCTGTCTTTCTAGCTGTGTGGTGTGGTCGTACTTAGTGTCGTGTGAAATTGTTGATAGTTGGACTTTAGTTAAATGGTTGGTGTTTTTCTTTCATTTTGCTGGTTCGATTAGTGGCAACGATGGAGGTATCATTAATGGATCCTTATGGGACCAATCCCGGACCAATTGAGAGCTTGGTGCTATATGACCAAGAGAAGCATGTTTCTTCAGCGGTTTGGGATGGGCAGGTGCAGTTTATTATCAGATAAGCTTTATAATTGTTATTTGAATTTGCCATTTGTTCGTGGTACTTCTTATTTTAGTTTTGAAGATTATAAATAATTTTTCAGTCAAACTAATACGTGTACAGGAGCGTGGTGCACTTAGGTGTCATGAGCACACTTCCAAGCTTGATCAGTGGACACTTACGGCCAAACAAATTGAATTAGTAGAGAGAGCTGGATTTGGGTACTTGAGATTGATTCCTGCAATTAGTCTGGATAATCCACTCATCTCCGCTTTGGTTGAGAGGTGGAGAAGAGAAACAAATACCTTCCACTTGAATGTTGGGGAAATGACTGTAACCCTGAAAGATGTCGTTCTCTTACTGGGACTAGAAATTGATGGAGATCCTGTTATTGGTCTAACATATACAACCTGCCACTCTGTCTGCGAAAGGTATCTAGGCAGAGCACCGGATCCTGGCTATACAAGTGGTGGAATGGTGAAGCTTAGTTGGTTGAAAGAGTTCTTTTCTCGGTGCCATGAAGATGCTCCAATGGAAATTGTCGAACGCCATACGCGTGCTTACCTTCTTTACCTCGTAGGAAGTACAATATTTTCCACCACAACTGGGAATAAAGTACCTGTCATGTACCTTCCTTTGTTTGAGAGTTTTGACCAGTGTGGGAAGTTTGCTTGGGGAGCAGCTGCACTAGCATTTTTGTATAGAGCTCTTGGGAACGCTTCCTTAAGATCACAAAGTACCATCAGCGGTTGCTTAACCTTATTACAGGTTATCTGAAATGATTGGTTCCCTCCTCCCAATCCCCTACTTCGTTATGTGATTTGTTTAACTTTTTTAGCTGCATTATCCTTTATAACTGAATGTTATCTTTTTTGTTTTGTACTTCTCAGTGTTGGAGTTACTTTCACCTTAATATTGGGCGTCCGAAGCTAAATCAAGATCCAATGCATAATCGCTTTCCATTTGTGCTTAGATGGAAGGGCAAACAAAGTGGTCCAACAGCAAACCGTGATGTAGTATTTTATCGCAAGGCTTTAGATTCCCTGAAACCATGTGACGTAATTTCTATATCATTCCTTCTGTAATTCTAGATTCAGATACCACTATTTGTAATCCACAAAGTGTGACCAGATTTGTATTGGTTTTGTCCTATAGGTGGAGTGGCTACCTTATAGAAACATGGACAGTATGCTAATTCCAGAAGATATTAAAAGTTCTTTGATACTTGGGAGGGCGAAGACAATGTTGATTTCTTTTGATAAGGCAGAGAGGCATCTTCCTAACCGTTGTTTAAGGCAGTATGGTATGCATCAGGCAATTCCAGAAGATGTACTGCGGTGGGAGAGAAAGAGCCGGGGTGTTGATGGAGGGGTTGACTTGTCAGCGAAGATGGAAGTTGAGCTTAACGAATGGAAGGAACGTAGACTCCAGATTGTTGATGGTGATGATAGTGTAGATGAGAATGAATACATGCAATGGTATCTGAAGATTACTCGTAGGTTTGTTGGGAGGCCTATATCTCTCTCATCTGAGTTTCAGAGGACGGTAAGACCATAATTCTTAGATTATTATGCAACTTGCTTGAATTTGTTGTTTAGTTTTAATCTTTTTTAAGCTTTAACAGAATGCTGGTTTGAGGGATATTGCACACATAGCAGATACTTTCTCAACCAAAGGGTTGGATCAGCAACAAATTGATTTGATTTCAAGGATAAGATACATTGCCCATGAATGTTTAAGAGACCAAGTCGGAGGCCCAATTATTTTGTCCTCCACCCCCCAAATTGAACTTGGGAAACGGGTTAGGGGAAAGGAGAGAGTCAGAAGAAAAGGTACTGGAAAGCGTGGAAGGAAGGAGGATCAATTGCAATACAACGCAGTTAGTGAGGACGAACAATCTCATTTTTGTGATTCTGCCATTGAGGTTGATCAATTACAACTGCATCACATGGATAGAGAGATGGAGCATCCAGAGTTATGTTCTGTTGATACGGAGGTCAATCATTTACCGCTGATTCATGAAGTTGACGAGGACGAGAACATGCAATTATGTGATGGCAATTTAGGGGTTGACCATTCTGACATGATCCATAACGCAGCTGGTGGAAATATGGCCGAGTTAAGCCATGCTGATATTAAACTCGATGAAGCAGAACTATGTGATGCACATAAGGAGGTCGATGTCCTGCATTTACCTGATACAATCAGTGAAGTTACAGATGCCCAGATTTGTAGTGCAATGGAGGCTAGTAATCCACATCATTTCCCTACATCTAAGGAAGCCAAGGACTCACAGATTTATCATTCAACCGAGGAAGTTAATGTGCCAAAGTTTCCTGACACAGCTAACAAGGTTGAAAATTCAGAGCTTTACCATGGCTCTATTAAGAGCTCTCCACATACAGGTGAACTGGTTGCTGAAATTGTTTCAGAGTCATCTTTTGTACCTCATGAGGATATAGTGCAGAAAGGAAATAACAATGTTTATATAAAACAGAGGTATTATTATTTTGACAAGCTTTGGTCCGTAAAATTTGCAGTCCTAGTATGCTGGTTGACTTTGTGATGAACTGTATGTGATGCTGATACAATCGTGGTGTATTCAATTTCTTTCCTTTTATTTTATGGGGTCCTCCTTCGGTCAAAGTTAAATCTGCTTTCATTTTCTTTTCTGACAGATGAATGTGCAGCCCAAAGCTAATGCATAAACTTCACGATGGATGATAGGCTTGGTCATCTGAAGCTGTCCATTTGATGACTTCTGGATGTAAATTTTTATATTGCATATTTATAGGTTAAAATATTTTGATTTGCCCCATTATTCAAGTGACATTTAATCTTTGTTTTACTTTTTTTATTTTTTAAAGTTTGGTTTCATGATAAAATATAATAACCATTGAATTGACAAGTAACTTCAAACTTTCCCTTGTTACAGAGCACGCTTGGAAGTACGTGAAGCAAGTAGGGTAGCCCGAAATGAAACAATCGTTTGCTACCACTGCCGGTGAGCAAATTTTTCCTAAAGAAGCAATAGTTTTCATCTTATAGTCACTGTATGCAATATCTAGTTGAAATTATTTTCTGCTCCTATTGCCGAATGTTTTCTGAAGAGCTGCAATAAACAGCTGGTCCAGTTGAGTTATGGCAATCTCTGCCCAATTTTGCTGTTCATTCCAGAAGTTTGATTCCCTTTGTTGGCTTCCTAATATTTCACCTCAATAAATATTTAAATATATATACATATATAAATAATACATTCATGGCTTTCATATTTGATTCTTCTGGTTTTCACTTGTCTTTGTATGACTTTAGACCAGGAAAAAGTTAAGACCAAAGGGACCCACGCATAAATCTGATTGCAAAAGGATTCTCAGTGTCTGATTTATTTCTTGGTCAGATTGTAATAACCCTGAATTAATTTTGCATCTGTTTGAGGCAAGTTCTCTTCAAAAGACCAATCATGTTTTTTCTCTATCCTGTTCTCTATGTTGTCCTTTCACTCTCCAAGAAATGCGGTAATAATTCTTAGCCATCCGTGTTCTTCTCTCTCAGACCGAATTCTGCATGTTTTTCTTTTTCAAACCAAGGTGTATTTGCTTGAGCCTTCTGCTCTAATAAGCTAAAAGTTCGTGGCCCACTATCTTACTGTAAATAAGATCTGAAATGTTGACGCATAAAATTATGTAAGATTTTCTCACTGTTCCAAGTAAGCAATTTATGTCATTTGAATATCGACCCTTTAATTATCAAAATTTAATAATATATCATTCTTTAGTTATTTATGTTCAAATTCTGAATATGAACTCGGATATTCATTAATTTCTCATGCCTTTACTGAGCTGCATGAAATTTGAAATACAGCTTTTCATTTTTATATTAATGACCATGATTTTCTGTGATGTTTTAGGAATTTTTTAGTGGGATTTGGAACTTGAGGTGAAGAAGAGACAAAAATCACAATTAACTTTTAAGGGGGTAAAGTTCCAATGTGTTGGATGCTGCCAGTTGACATGAATGCCCCTTTCTATGGTGAATCCAAGAGTGGACTCAAAAGGGCAGTGAGGGAAGAAATGACCAGAAAAAGAAATGAAAACGAGGCGTCTGCCGTCTGTCTTGATTATTGGGGCAAATTTCTAATGCTCTGTTTCTTGGAACTACAATAAAACTAATCATGATTATTATTAGTATGAATATTTTTCACATGATTAATCAGATTATAATGATGTTTATTTGATCTGAAGTCTAGTGAAAAAAGGTCAGTGACATAAATTGCTTACTTGGAACAGTGAGAAAATCTTACATAATTTTATGCGTCAACATTTCAGATCTTATTTAGTGAAAAAAGTCATAAATCTTTGACGAAATTTAGTGAAAAAAGGGTGTTTCACTCACGAACTGAGTTTATAGAATCTGAAATGAGGCTATTGAGTCTATATTATTTAGTATGGGGATTTCTTTATCTTAAGCTGTGTTTGCAGATTTTATAGAATTAGTAGGGGAATGGCAAATTGATCAAGTAGGTTGTGTGTAATGTTAAGAAATATTGTTCATTTTATCCTTCTAGTTTTTCCATGGCTAGGATTTCAAAGATCTATTGTAACTTACAAATCAAACACTTCACATAAAATTAAGTTTTTGTAACACAATAACTTTTGAATTCATTATCTCTTTGATCGGAGATAGGTGTTTTAACCAGTTGAGTTATGTTCAGATCGACTGTAACACAATAATTTATACAATCTAAATACATTACATAAATTAGGACATTTCAATCAATTCTATACTACACAAACTCAAATTTATGGAGTAATATCACTTTGGTTTAGTTTGAACTCCTTTTTAATCTGATAAAAGTTTAAACAAGAAAAGAAATTTGTGTCCAAAAAGCTGAACACACATGTTATTCTCTCTCTCATCTTCTGTTCTTGTGGTGAAGACCCCACCTTATTTTCATATTCCCAATCAAAATGGATGTCACAAAACACTAATTACCACTACCCCACCAATCACTTCAATCACATCTTCTCCTCAGCCCCCACTCCCTCCCCTCGTAGACAACCATTTGAAATGAAATCATTTTCCATAACCAACCAAACAACTCCCTCTCCCACAATGTACTGTTTCTTCCCACTCTTTCTGCTTCTTCCTTCTCTGCTCTCACTTCCCTCTGTCACTGCCATGTTCATGCCCCCCTTTGAAGCTGAGACCCTCTTCAAGATCATGGATTCCATGTCCTCTGATCAAAATTGGAGGCTCTCTCATCCCAATCCTTGCAAACCAGGCTCCTCTTGGCCTGGACTGGAGTGCAAACCAGCTCCCAATGACAATAGTCTTCTTCATGTCTCAAGGCTTGACTTTGGAACCTCCCCAAATCCCTCTTGCAACCCCACTGCCACATTCCCTTCATTGATTTTTGATCTTCCTCACCTTCAATCTGCCTTCTTCTTCACTTGCTTCACTCACACCAAGACCACTCTCTCTGTTCCCCCCACAGCCATCTCAAATTTTTCCTCACTGCAGCAGCTTAGCCTTCGGTCGAACCCGGCACTGACCGGTCCGATCCCACCTCGAATTTCTTCCCTCAAGTCCTTGAAGATCCTCACATTGTCTCAAAACCGCCTCGAGGGCGCGATTCCGCCCGAGATTTTCGGCTTGGTGTCCTTGGTGCACCTTGACTTGAGCTACAATTTGCTCACAGGCAGCATACCAATTCAGTTGGGGAACCTCAGGAGCCTTGAAGGCCTGGATTTGAGCTATAATTCGCTCTCTAGATCAATCCCAAGCACAATTGGCCAGTTGGGTCTGCTTCAGAAACTTGACTTGAGCTCCAATTCGCTCACAGACAACATCCCTGATAGCATTGAGAAGCTGAATTCCTTGGTTTTTTTGGCCTTCAGCAGCAACCAACTTGGTGGGCACTTCCCAAAAGGCTTGGAAAAGTTGCAGAATTTGCAGTATTTCATAATGGATGACAATCCCATGCAAATCTCTCTGCCTCTGGCATTTGGAAAACTAGTGAAACTACAAGAACTCAGGCTTGCTAGTTCTGGCTATTCCGGCACCATTCCATCAAGCTTCTCACAGCTAAAAAACTTGACCACTTTATCTCTACAAAACAACCATTTGACTGGAGAAATCCCAGTTGGATTCAGTGGTCTTTCTCGCATATATCACTTGAATCTCAGCAGAAACTCCCTGAGTGGCACTGTGCCTTTCAACTCAAGTTTCTTGAAGAGGATGGGCCAAAACTTGGATCTCAGTGGAAACCCAGGTCTTTGCTTGAGCCCTTCTGAAGCAACCGGCCAAAAGTTTGGAGTAAATGTCTGTGGAACTGATGAAGAAGGTGCCTCATTCTTCCAACCAATGAACAAATCTCCACCTAAATCAAGTTTCTGTTATCTATTTGCTTTCCTTCCTTGTTTGGTAATGCATCGTATATTGTTCCACTATGATCTCATTCTTGTTTAAATTGATTCAATCTTTTTGCTTCTGTATTGATTTTGCTTTAAAAGGAATCAGTAGTTTGGTCCTAAAATTTTTAACCTGTGCCTATTAAATAGGTTTTAAACTTTTAATATTATAATTAAAAGTGGGTCAAAGTTGGAATATGCGAAGGACAGTAGAGGGAAAGAGTAGCTCTCAAAATCCCAGTTCCAGTTCCAGTTTCACCATAGTGATAAAGCCAGTGTTGATTTCAAAACGACATGTCGCTCTCAGTGCCATTATTGAAGATGGTGCAAAGGGAAACACCCTCTGACAATTCATTTGAACACACACACACACGCCTGGAGCTTTCCCAATTCAAGTTTCTGTGATACGACATCGTTTCGTCTTTTATCTTATGAACATCAGGTAATGTAGTTATATGACACAAAATGCAATCTGCTTAATGGTAACTTTGATGACGTAAATCTACTATTCTGTTAACATATGTACTTTCATTTTGAAGCGAGGAAATCAAGGAACTTAACGAGGTTCATAAGTGTGACGCCCGACATCCGAGTAAAAAGAAGGGGTAACATGAATGTACCAATACCACATCTGAATGAGAAAGATCATGAGATCATGGAAAACATGATTAAGAAAAATTTAAAAGAATTGATAGTTACTACTAATACTAACAAAATGCACTTTCCTTTTCGGTGGTTCAATTATAAGAACTCCGAAGTTAAGCGTACTTGACTTTGAGCAATCTTCAATTGGATGGTTTCGTAGTCCATATTATGAAGCATGTGAATGAGGATAAATCATGTAAAAAGAACTCGTGTTGGTCTGTAGGAAAAGTCTTTACTCTTCTAAGTAGTTTAGATAAAGACACTGTTGCAGCGGAACAACGAGACAATTAGGTGCCAATTTCAAATTCCGAATCTTGGGCCTGCGGTGTTACAATAAGCTACTTCTCTCATTGCAAATTGATTTTGTAGGTAGTAATAAGATCATATGTTATAAGCTTTTAAATTACACAAAAGAAAGAACAGGGTTAAGAGGGGGAGAAACAGAGAAAAAGAGAACTTGAAAACAATTGAAAAAGCAAACAAGTGGGGACAGAAACAGTAGAGGTGATGAAACAAGACCATCAGAAAAAAGGGGAAAAAAAACTGACCCCAAAAGGACACTTGAAATACTGTAAGAGCTGGAAAGCACCCACCAAACTCAAAACAAAATTTACTTTAACATTTCAATTTTCACAACAGTTGTAAAAGAATAGTGCCATATTCCACTGCTACTCCTCCACTGTAGTTTTCTTTTTTACTTTCTGAAAGTTACCTCTTTTTTCCAGCAGAATTTTCTTTTGCTTTTATATACCATGTGCCCAAAATCCCATTTTTATTCATTTGGGTTTTGATATTGTTGAAAAGTTACCTTCTTTCTTTCCATGGCTATGGAATACGAGTAATATGACGGTGAATTGATTTTTCATATTCATAGCATTTTGATGGGTGCTGTTCAAAGAAAAGGAAAAAAAAACAGTTTTCTTTGTGTTTTTCCCCTGTACTTGTTTGTTCTTGTCTTGTTCAACAGAAGCAGATGACATTTCAAACATTTTTCCACTAAATACTTTATGTTATTTTGTTGCTTCTCAAATGAAACTGCCACTTTTTTTTGGCCTTCCAAGAAAGTACATTGGAAAAATGATGAATAAAATTATTTTATTTTTATAACTCTCTGAGCATATCTCACTTTTAACGGGAAAAAAATATTGCTTTTGTAACTGTTTGAATGACCAACAAAAATATATGTACGTAGGATTATGCTCTTTCTTTTTTCTTTATGATTACTTATTCCTCGATTAGCGTGCTGTGTTCATAAAAGCTATATTAATCCATTTGATTTCTTAAACTAATAAATCAGTACCTAAATATAGTTTAAAAGAAAATGATAAAATAATAGTTGTTGATGCATAAAATGGGTCATCCCGCGCTAATCTTTTTTAAGAGAGGCATGGAACTTGGAAAATAATGAGATTGTACATCATCCACGCTTCAATACTTAAGTTATAATCGAGTCTGTTTGTGTAGTAAGAGACCTCTTATTTACACAGAGAAACTCTAAAATCTTCTCGATTCCAGAGACCTCCACTAAAGAGCTAGACAATTTAGTTTAGAAGATCACGCTAGCTATGCACTCACTTGACCACTAGAGCTTAGCTTTTGGGTCTTCCTTGGCCTATTCGTCCTCGGCAATTTTGCCCAATGGTTCATGCCTCGCCTTTGCCTAACAAGGCTCGACTTATGTATTAGTTCTTGAGAGATTCGTGTTCAAGGACTCGACTCTTGAATCATCCTTTAGCCGAGGGACATAATAAGATACTTTTTCCTATCTATAATAATAGTAATAGATATTTTAGATCAAATAATACATATAGCATTTCGGTTCACTCATATCTAACCTTTTAAAAGACAAAATTATTGGTGGTTCCTTTTTAACTATTAATAGAGGGAACACAAATGGCTTTGAAGAAACCAACTTTTTGCCCATGTTTGTTTTGTGTGATTGGTTTTGCTGTTTTAAAGCTGAGTCCTTCAAACAAAAAAAATGCAGTATTTGAGACCACTGTGAAGAAGAATCAGTAGGCAAAGAGAAAAATCTACCAATTTTTGGAAGAAGAGAACAAGCAAGAGAATCCAAGGGGGCATCCATTATTATAGATATTAACCCCACAGAAATCCCCAAAAAGGGAAAGCAAAAGGAAATTCACTTTTTCCATCAGTCACAGATCATTTTGCATATATAGAGATATAGAGAGCTAAGGCTGAGCCCATTTATGAACCACTTTGATAAATTAGAGCCTCTTCCACTGTGCTTTCTTCCTCAATAAGGAGTAGGAATAGGATATAATAGGTAGTTGCTTTCCAAATATACAAGAGCGGAGTGAAGAAGAAATAAGACGTCGCCTTAGTTGTCTAACGTTACAAAATAATTATCTAGACAAATTAAGATTTTAATGTTTAGAATAGGAAGATTATACGTATAAACGGTTGGAAGGTAAGATTTTAGCCCCTGTTTTGAAAATATTTTGTAGTTCAAGCACAAAGCAAAAGGGATTACTTTTGTAGCATTACTTTTCTTCGTACGTTAAAGATAACATATTTTAGTTTCTTTAGAACAATAAATGGATTTGAACTTCTGACGGGAAGAGGATGAATAGATACTTTAGCTGTTAAGCTATATTAATATTGGTTTGTTAAGAATTCAGGTGAGGGGCGATAGAGAAAAGCCATTTTGATGAACTTTAAGAGATGTTGGTAAATGAAAAGCATTACAATAGTGGAGAGAAATTCTCTAAGATCAAAATGGTATACTTGTGTCATTGGTTGAAAATTACCTAATATGTAGATGCGTAAATAACTCTATACCGTGGTTGTATAAACGACAACAACGATCTATATATCAATGATCCATTTACTACCAACTTAATTGTTTCTCATTTTAAAAAAGTAATAATATTACATCGGGTTAAAAATTAAAATCTATATGAAAAGGGCGAAGGAAAAATTATATTGCATTATATTTGTTAACATCTCTCGTTGTTATTGAGATGCAAAATGATACTTTAAAGTGGTTTTTTTTTTCAATACAGCACAAATTGTTTCAATCATAGTAAAGATGTCAATTTTTTTAAAAGACAAGGAAAATGAGTTAGGGGATGAACAATTATTTACTATGGAACTTCAATTAATAATAGAGTTTAATTCATTGAAATAGTAGATAACATGTGATGGAAAAAAAGGTTAAATGATTGACCTCGTGGACCCTATGATATTGAATTTATCCTTATTATTAGAGTACTTAGAAGAAATAATACAGTAGTAACAATCTCCATATATGCATCCCACGTACAAGTTTGGCAGCGTTTGGTACGTTAGGTTGAAATGGGGTGGGGTTGGCCTCGGGTAGTCCACCGCCACTTTCCTCTTATTCTTAACAATTACTCATTTTCGTACGTATACACCATGAGTATGGCTCAACGATTAAAACATTTTATTTATTCTTTTGAGTTTGTAGGTTGAATCTTCCATCTCCATATATTAGAAAAAGAATTACCTCTTTCTGTCATCTATCTGCTCGTCTCTACTAATCTCACAACTTCCCTTTTGTGCCCAATTATTCTCCCTGAACAATCACATTCTCACCAAAATTGTTAAATAAAAAAAATGTAAGATTATATTGAATGGTTCGCTAAACAATTAAAAATAAAGCTATCGAAATCTAGGCTATAGGCCCCAAACAAAGGCTTATGTTACACAAATCAGGATACACGACTCCCTTAGACTTAACATTTCCAAGCCAAACACCTTCCCCAGATATCCGTTAATGTTTTGTCAAAGTGAGATATTATCTCACAAATTTTCACTGAAGAATAGATGAAAGGAGACATGTTTTCGCAGCAATATTTTTTTAGTACAACATGTGAGTTGAAAAATCGAATTTACAACCTCTTGGTTTGAGATATATGTCAATTACCGTTGAACTGACTCGTTTTGACAAAAAAAAAGATCGATTCAATTTGTCCACTTAATTATGCTAGGATTGATGATAGATGAACCATTTAGGACTTTGATTACATGAGGCATTTCAATGAGAAATATTGACAAATCTCTAAATACAAAAGATATAAAAAATAAAAAATAAAAAGATTAAGCTTCAGAGATGTTCAATATACACCGCAACACTAATTTTTACCTGTCATCTAATTACAATATAGTTAATAAATACAGTTCTAATTTTAGGGAAATCCATTTCGGAAAACAGTTTTAATTGTCGGTTTAGCTTCGGTTCGATTCTAAAATCGAGCCGATTACACCCCTGTGGTCGTGGCGGGAGGCGAGGAGAAAAGTGAAGTAAATTTGTTATTTCAAGATGGTATGAGGGGTATTTTAGTAAATGTAGAGGGTACTGTTACCATATTAATTATTATCAACAAATGACAAAATGCCTTAATCTTTAATGAATAAGGTTATTTCCCCCCAAAAACATCCCCTTCCGGTTTCTCTCATGGCTTCCAATTTCCGCATCAACCTGCTCCGAGCTCTGTGCTCCACCGTCTACCATGGCATCGGTAATTCTCATTACCTAAATGCAAATCGAGCTCCGCAAGCTCTGTACCATTTCAGGCACTTCTCTGATGCACCGTCTCCGACGATCGCTACCGCCGGCTCTTCTTCTGCACCGCCTCAGAATGCAGCGGTGCAAAGTACGGCTCGACCTAAGGAAATAGTCAGAAACGCTTCTGCTGCCTCGTCTGTGAATCAGCTCGAGCTTGCTAAATTCTCCGCCATTGCCGACACCTGGTCATCTTCGAATTCTTTGAGAAAATAGAAAAAAAAAACGCATTGGTTAGATGATTTCTGTTGATTGAATTCTTTTCAGTTTTCAGTCGGGATGGTTTCTGAGGAAATTAGGGTTGGGGTAGGGCTCGATTTTTTTAGCAAATTTATGGAGCATGATGTTTAGATAGTTGGAGATGTTTTGAGGTTCCTCTCCTTCATTTTCCTGGAAATTAATCCTTCCTTACTTTGTATATCTCTGTGCAACGAAACTTCCACACCTTTTATCACTAACTGTCGAATCGACATGCTCGAAGGTTCTATGTAGATGACGTATATAACTTTTATCAAGGCTTACTCTCATATATATAATTCAAGTCGAGACTTCTAATAAAAAGGAAAAAGAAACCAATTCACATAGAGCCCTTTGTTCTGCAAATGTTTTCATGCAAGTGCCTAAGAATGAAATTTTGGTGGCTATCCAATAGATACACCGTTTGAATTGGTATACATTGGTATGGTCGCGTGTGCTTTTTTTTGGAGTGTATCTTGGTCGTGCATTCCTTTGATATTCAGTGTGTCTCAGTCTCTAGCCTGGAGAAGTAGGAAAAAGTATACGATGGTTTTCAGTTATTTTATTTGTATTAGGCGTCATATATGTGAAATATCTCACCTGCCGAAATAATATGTGAATTTTCATGGTGTGCAGCATATGGATTTTTGTGAATTGTGTCTAGTATCATCTATGTCTTGCTATCATTTTTGTTCATGGTCAGTGCCCTTTGAGTACTCATTCTAGAGTGTAGTTCATGCCATAGTAAGGATTACAGCACTCGGTAAATTTATAAAGACTGAAGCTGTGGTTTTCAGGTGGGACTCAGAAGGGCCATTTAAGCCATTACATGTGATGAATCCTACAAGACTCTCCTTCATCAGATCCACTCTTTGCCGGCATTTTAGGTACCCCCCACCAAATTTTATGTTGGGTCTTTCAGGCACGTATAAATGTTGGTTCCAGTAACTATCATACTGGCTGACTCCTGATTCTACATTGAACTCTTTTCGTTTTACCCCAGCTATCTAGATATGCAACCCTTTTTGGACGAACTAACTACCATTCTATATTGCTGGATAGTCAGTAATTTTAATTAATAATAAGGCAATTGTATGGATAGCAATGCAAATTCCTATACTCCGAGGCTGATTACATTATTTTAATTGGATACATTATTTGTAGGAATGTACTTGTTATTAAATGCATTAGTTATTTCTAAAATGAAAGATTTTCCTCAAGATTATAAGACTATCCATTTTAAACATGTTAGTAGTATTCAAAATCTGATTGCGTGTTGATGGTTCTGGTTCTTTTAGAGTTATGTAGAAATTATGAACCAGAGATCCTCCTAGAATTCTTATAGTGAAATTATATGTTTAAGTAGTATTGAGCTGCAGTTGGTGACAACAAAAAAAAAAGAAAAAAAAAAAGTATCGAGCTGCAGTTGAGACGTGATATGATATTCATTCTGGTATAACATTTAGCATGTTGTTGGTTCCTGGAATGTAAAGTTTACAATTCAGTGCAATACTAGCGAGATGAATTTTTTTCACTTGATATGTTCTAGGAATTTTGAAATCTTTGTTTGATTAAATATCTACAGGAGAGACCCTTATTCAGTTAGACCTTTTGAAGGACTGAATATTGCTGACGTTGGTTGTGGCGGTGGAATTCTCTCTGAGGTATGTAGTTTTCCTTTTTGGGTCTTGTTGCACTCTTATTAGGAAGTGAAATGTTTACTGCCAGGTGCAACTTGCATGCTTTCTTTTCTTCATAAATACCATTTGTCATGTTCGCTGAGTCTGAAATTTTCCAAAATGATTTCTACCTTAAATCTTTTTTCAACTTATTAGCTCAAAAGGCACACAATTTCTTAGTGTTCTAAAATCATAGGATCAAACAGGTAGTATAGAACTTGCACATCATATCTACCGAAGAAGCGCAATTTTTTTTTCTCCTCTATACCTAGGGGCACCTGCGCTGGCCTAAGCCCAGACCCCGAAGACATCAAGGGTTTTTGGTATTAAGCTCATCGGAAGGTTCGGACTTGAGACCTTTAAGCCAATATGATCAAGAGACTCCAAGCCTTTGTCAACTAGGCTGACCGTTGGGGCAAAGAAGCGTAATTTTTAAAGCCATTCCATTCCTTATTTCTCCTTTTTGGTCAAGGAATTAGATGATTATAAAGTCCAGTAATGTAGCACGGGAGAGAATGACGCCATCCTGAATAAGCCCTCTTGTCTTATAGAGTTGCAAGCAGTCAAATAAGTAGAGCACAAAAGCTTTCTAATTTAATAATTTATTGATATACAGCAGAGTTCGGTGGTAAAGAACCTTATATGTCATTTCTGTCAACATAGATCATCTACGACGTCCTTCCCCCTTTTCCCTTTTTTGTCAATTATAGGGACACAATTGATGTCCCCCACATTCAATTGAGGTTACAGGAGAGCGAGCAATACAATGTGTGAGCCATAAAATGATATTCGCCCTCTATACTAACTTCTAAGAAGCTCCAGTCATGTAGAAAGAAGATAGCCAAGTCGTCCCATATATTTAAGAGAAAGAAATGCAGTCAAGAGTGCAGTTCAATCATTAACCTGTGCACTAATTTGGTGCAGTTCAATCACTGACCTGTGCATTAATTTGTAGGCTTGAAACCATACTTTATAAGGCCATTCTGCTCTCTTTGATTAAATTATTTTTCTTAGTTCATGTAAACTTTTGGAAGATGTTCTTAATCTAATGTTCACTAGCTTTCTCTCTGTTCTTGTAGCCTTTAGCTAGAATGGGTGCGAATGTGACGGGAATTGATGCCGTGGAGAAAAATATCAAGATTGCACGTCTGCATGCTGTATGGTTATTATTCTTGAAGTCAAACAAATCGTTTATTTGGAAAGATCTATGCAGAATTTAACTTGGTGGTCTGGACATGCTTGTATATGCAGGACCTGGACCCTGTGACATCAACAATTGAATATTGTTGTACCACAGCTGGTACATGCAAAAACTTGATTTTTCCTGCACCATCAAACCTCTGTTATTTTGCACCTATTATGTCCAACTTCAAATGTGCTTTACGTGTGGTTTTACATTTGAAAAATTCAACAAAAATCTATTCTACTCCCTTGGAGAGTGCTATAAAGTATTCCAGCTGCCTATATTTTGGTTGACTACCTCCAATCTACTTGTTCTGCGCATTTCAAATTTGCATTACACTTTCTTAAAAAGAAAAAATAAAAGGGGGCAAAAGAAGTGCATTACATTCTTCTTATAAGGGGAAAAAAGGTGCCTATGCTCTTTTTCGAGATACACTTTTTTTCCCACCTTGTTTGCTGTATGCTCAAAAATATTTTTTCCGTCGGAAATACTTTATTTTTGCCATGAAAAATTCAATGCTTATTTATTCTTAAATATTGAATATTCATACGATACTACTTTGTCACAGAAAAGCTGGTGGAGCAGGAAAAGAAGTTCGATGCTGTCATAGCTTTAGAGGTTTGTTCTCACTCTCACCGATGTCTGGTTTCAAAATGAAATTATAATGCGAGTCATTTCACTTTGGAGGTAACTTCTATTTGTTAGCCTGATCATACCAATCGACTGAAACCGAACTGTTAGATTTTTGTCCAAGCTCTTATAAGCAAAACATTTCACTAGGTAATTGAGCATGTGGCGGATCCTGCTGGATTTTGCCAGTCCTTAGCAGCATTGACGGTGCCAAATGGAGCTACAATTATTTCTACGATCAACCGTTCTATGAGGGCATTTGCAACTGCCATTGTTGCAGCAGAATACATTCTCCATTGGGTATGCCAGATCATACAACTGCTCTTATTTGACTGGATACTTCAAATAGAGAAGTCAGTGATTCAGTTGAGTCTTTACTATTTTCTCAATTCTTACAGCTCCCTAAAGGTACGCATCAGTGGTCAAGCTTCCTTACCCCTGAAGAATTGGTTCTGATTCTACAACGCTCCTCTATTTCAGTAAGACCAATGCATAAATATCCATGTTCTTATGTTTTTTCTAATCCCTTTTTCCAATGGGCACTGTCTTCTCTTGTTGTAATGTAATGGCCGCTCTTTTCTTCTCTGTTTCAGGTGGAAGAGATGGCGGGATTTGTGTACAATCCCTTAACCGGCCAATGGTCCGTTTCAGATGACACCAGTGTAAATTACATCGCCTTCGGTACCAAGAGTAGCCAGCAAACAGAGTAACAGAGGTGTAATCTTAATTCTCACTAATTTTGCCCCGAAAACTGAATAGTTACACTCTCAACACCCCCTAAAACTTGTTTTTCTTTGTGGGATATAAGGCTTTCCAATCTCATATACTTGGAGCAAATTTGCTTTGAGCTTTATGATCTTGGCCGACTCCACTTTCATCTTACTTTCTTCAATAATTCTTTATTTTGCCCTCGAAAGGTAAGAAAACATGGTTCTGAATTTCATATCACTCTTAATTATTACCATGAATTATTTGGTTTGGCATGGATATTGAGTACTGGATGGGAGTTGGAATCTGGTTTCTATACTTTTTAAGTTTTGTTTATTTTAGTCTTGAATTTTCGGAAGGTTCATTTTGGTCCAAGTACTTTAATATAGTGACAATTTTGATCGATTCATTTTTTCTTACCTTATTTATTTCAATAAAAAAGTTTAACATGACATTTATTAAATTTCTTGAAATTGAGTTATAAATTTGAATTAAATAGTTTTCATGGGTATAAAATCTGGATTAAAATTTTGTAAGTAAGAATTAAAATGGTTAATTTCAAAAGTATAGGAATTAAAACATATATTTTGAAAATATATGCATTAAAATAAATAAAGAGTTCAATATGATTAAAAGTTGAAAATAAGGAGACGGTAAACATTTTGGTAAGGATTAAAATAATTGTATTTAACCCATGGAATTATATTACGTTATCATCTTGTTGAGTTTCCCAAGATTATTATCAGCGGACCCCACTTCTTTCAAGAGATAGCTCCTCGGGCTTCGGACAACATCAGGACCGTTGGTTAGCTAGTTGATCATGTTTCCATCCGAAAGATCGGCCAATCACAACCGTTCATAGGTAGTAAGAAAATGACCTCGTTATTCGGTTACCACTTGCCGCGTCTTTCTTATGGCAACAGGTTCCTCTTGCGGCTTGCTCATATCTTTTCTTAGCCAAATATATAATTAATACTAAATTAACATAATTATCAATAATAATAAGTTGAGGTGTGTAAAATATTTGTTGATTAATTCAATTCTTTTTATTAAGTTTCTTGGTTTTTTAACAATACTTTTAGAACTATTGGTCAATGTCAAATGTTTATTAATATTATTATGGGCATTTTTACAACATTGAGATTTTGATATTTTTGTATTGTCCAGAAGTTACGTGTTTGACTTGCTTAATAAATTGCACAGCCGGAAATTATTTGGATCCCGTTTGTAGAAAGCAATTTCCCAACGATTGTATTTTATGTAAAGTTTAATTATTTCATATGCTAGGTAATTTATAAATGTTTAGGGTTTAATTAAAAATCGAGAATTTTATCCCATCAATCGCTATAATGGATCTAAGATCTTAATTTCGTGTTTGGATGCCGAGAAAATGAAGGACGAAAATTATTGATTTACCATTAAAAAAGAGGAAAATTTGTCTTGTAAGCGACCGAAGGAAAGTACACGTGGCATGGGCTTACAGTTATCCGATTGCTAATTTGTTGCAATTAGCTAGAGGTTTCTTACCTCTTTAAAACGTGAGCCATTTTCAGCGAAAGGGCGGGGAAGAAGACGAAGATCTTCCGTGAGAGAAATTGTATCGCCTTTCTTTTGACAAGGCAATTAGCAAAATTCAGGGAAGCTACGACTCTGAATTCTCGTTAGATTATTTGTTCGCTGTTCTTCTCTTGTTTGGTTGTAATCTCGATCGTTTAGAATCTCAATTCCATCGATCGGAAAGGGAAGTAGATGCCGACCGACATGGAAGTGTCGCCGTCGATCGTTGCCCGTGGCCGCTTGGCCGTACTGGCAGCACATCTGGCCGCGGCGACCTTGGAACCGCCGGAGATGGCTTCGTCCCTCTTGCCTCACTGCGTGTCGTCTCGGAGCATGGTTCAGCCTCCTGAAATGCTGAAGGGCTCGTTGAAGGTCGTGGATGAGAGGACTGGGAAGAGGTACCAGGTACAGGTATCTGAAGAAGGCACGATAAAGGCCACTGACTTGAAGAAGGTACACGAATTAATGGAACTGTAACATATTTGACAATATTGAATCGGTTTATTCGTTTATTTCACATTATTGCTTTAACTTAGGCTCGTTGGATTGCTTGATGTGGCTTTTGTTGTTAATCGTGGATACCGATTTTAGTCTGATGGACTTGATCGGTGATATTTGCAGATAACCACTGGACCAAATGACAAGGGGCTTAAGCTGTACGATCCAGGCTATCTCAACACGGCGCCGGTTCGGTCATCGATCAGTTATATTGATGGTGATGAGGGAATTCTCAGGTATAGAGGCTACCCGATTGAGGAATTGGCTGAGAGTAGTACCTATGTGGAAGTTGCGTACCTCTTGAGTAAGTTTTCGAGGAGCAATCATTGTATCAATTCTGTTAGTCTAGAATCACTATGGTGGTGTATGGTATTTATCTTCTGGTCATTGATATGATGTCTGATTTGTTCCAGTGTATGGGAATTTGCCTTCTCAGAGTCAATTGGCAGACTGGGAATTTGCTATTTCTCAACATTCCGCTGTACCACAGGGAATTTTGGTGCGATTGCGTTGTCATATTACTATCTTTTTGTGTAAACTTCAATAATTCTGAAACAGACTTCTTACTTATAGAGTCGATCCTCTCTCTATCAATAGGATATCATTCAAGCAATGCCTCATGATGCACATCCAATGGGTGTGCTTGTTAGTGCAATGAGCGCTCTATCTGTCTTTCATCCTGATGCCAATCCTGCCCTTAGGGTAAGTTTATGTTTTCGGTTCTCAGTTGTTTTTTATGGCATACTGCAGCGAATGTGGCAAAAGTTCCAGTTTTTACTTCCTGTTGCAATGAACACTTATTGTGTTCATTTTATTTCCTATTTGCTTTAACTGCATATCACTTACTAATACTAGTACGCCTCATACTACTTTCATTATCTTTCGATAAAGCATATTTTTTTAAAAAAAATGGCAAACGATATCTATCCCAAAGAAGAAAAAAACCTTCATTTAAGGAAATTTTATAGATTCATTGAGTTTGGCTTTGTATAGCATTGCAAGAAAAGTGGCAGTACTAGATGAAAGCTTCAGTATTCAATTTTTCAACTTCATTGTTACTACATGCATCTGTCTTTTTGGGCTTTGTGACTGATGTGAAAGGACTTTTTATTTAGTTGTGCATCATTGTTTTGTTGTAGGGACAAGATCTTTACCGGTCTAAGCAAGTGAGAGACAAACAAATAGTACGTATTATAGGGAAGGTATGCTTTCTATGACCATTTTGCCGGTAAAGATTATTTTATTATTGTTCTTATGTTGTGTTACTTTATTGCTTGCTTGCCAATTTAATTCTGTGTAATGCTCATTATAGTTTGAGACTTCCAGTACTTCCATCTAGATATATGAAACTACTGACTAATTTTATGGTGTTTTCTCTTAATTAATAGGCTCCCACCATTGCAGCCGCAGCTTATCTTAGATTGGCTGGAAGACCTCCAGTTCTCCCTTCCAGCAACCTTTCTTATTCAGAGAATTTCCTCTACATGCTTGATTCATTGTAAGTTGCCTAGATATCTTTTGTTTTCAATAATATATGATATGACTCAGGACAGGTTTTAGTTTCTATTTGAAATGCTATCTTCTTTACCTAGCTAAATTGATACATGTGCGAGTTGGATAGCCTTGTATTCACCATCATATTTCAAGAGAAAATATAAACTGAATTTATAAAGTATGAGAACCAAGGCTTTGGGCCTGAAAAAGAACGATACTATTTGCAGAGGTAATAGGTCTTATAAACCCAATCCTCGGCTTGCTCGAGTCCTAGACATTCTATTCGTCCTTCATGCAGAACATGAAATGAACTGCTCTACAGCTGCTGGTCGCCATCTAGCATCAAGGTAGACAGCATAGTACCAATGACCTGACTTAATTTTTGCAACTCTTATCCCTGTCTCATCCTGGTCTTTTTGGCTTTTCAGTGGTGTTGATGTGTTTACTGCACTTTCCGGAGCTGTTGGAGCACTGTATGGGCCTCTTCATGGAGGTGCCAATGAGGTATACAAACAGCAATTTTTCCCTTGAGCCAGCTTCCAAAATGACTTTATTACGAGACACGACCACTGGGCTCTTTTATGGGCATTATGGATTTGTTTGGTTCCTTTCTTTTATTTTCCTGATGATTGTAAGCTGTGATTAAAATTCTTCCTTCCTTTGCTTTTTCCCTGATTGTAGGCTGTGCTTAAGATGCTGAGCGAAATTGGAACTGTTGAGAACATTCCAGAATTCATCGAGGGTGTTAAAAACAGGTAATTACAACTTTGTTCCAATATGTTAAATTTTTACTTGGTTGATCTCTTACTGTAGTTAGAAAGAACAGCTGAATGAATTTCGTTCCAAGACATTTTGTTTGAATTAAGAATGCTAGTTAGATTGCTCACATCACTTTGTTCTCCAGGAAAAGGAAGATGTCAGGTTTTGGCCATAGGGTGTACAAGAATTACGATCCTAGAGCTAAGGTCATAAGAAAACTGGCCGAGGAAGTGTTTTCCATTGTTGGTCGGGATCCTCTCATTGAGGTATCTGTCTTGCAACTGTTTCCAAGTGAACGTGCAATTGATCCACACCTTCTTAGATCATTGCTACGGTTCCAGTTTGAAAATTATTTAACAATAATTCTCATGCCATATAGGTGGCTGTTGCTTTGGAGAAGGCTGCTCTTTCAGATGAGTACTTCGTCAAGAGGAAGTTATATCCTAATGTTGACTTTTACTCCGGATTAATATACAGGTAGGAAGGTGGATGTTTCCTATTGAAGAGGTGTGCATGTTTTTCCTCTCGAGGAGATAACTGATGGATGTGTTTGATCAGGGCTATGGGATTTCCAACAGAATTTTTCCCCGTATTGTTTGCAATCCCCCGAATGGCTGGATACTTGGCACATTGGCGAGAATCCCTGGATGATCCTGACACAAAGATAATTAGACCGCAACAGGTTAGTTCTCTTCTCCACGCCACCCGGGAAGCCGGGACCTCTGTTTTAAGTTGGGTTAAAGTCTATCTGTACACTTACTTTTCTCAGTCTGAAAGATTGGTCTGCATCCCTTCTTTAGATAGCATGAAACTTCATATAATGCTAGCAATTAGTTTGGTTAACTGTATCTTGGTGCATTCATGGAACTCAGGTCTACACTGGGGAATGGCTGCGGCATTATATTCCACCCAAAGAACGACTTGTACCGGTTAAATCAGACAGGCTCGGTCAGGTTTCCGTTTCGAATGCCTCCAAGCGCCGACTGTCTGGATCCGGGATCTAGACTATTTGGATCACATAAATCAAATGCAGGTAAATAAAATTATGCAAGTTTGCAAGGAAGCGAAACTTGTTTGTTGCATGGTCCAGTCGCTGCCAGAATATGGACAAAGTTGCAAAGTAGAATGTTAGAGAAACAAGATAGACCCTCCATAAAGAATAAAGGATTCGTCGCCATTTGCATACAGTGTGCAAGTTTCTTGTTTTATTAGGATGTGATATTGTAACTTCCAGTACTCTGGATGAATTTATGTTGTACCCAATATCATATTTTCATTCTTCTTTCCAGTTGTAAGATGAAAAATGGTTCTAAACTTCAGTTTAAGGCTGCAGATAACAACAAATTCTGAGCTGAATTTAAGGCAATATCCCTCTTTGTAAACATACCTTCTCTGCGAATTTTTCATCAGCAGAGCTGCAACCTGCTCTCAATTTCCTTCTTGTAGCCCTGTGTCTTCTTCAAACTGAAGAAATTTTCCCTCCAATTCCCCCTTAATGTAACTAATCGTGTTCTCCAGCCTCGGTTTCACGACATTCTCCAGACTCCAGAGCCTTAACTCTTCATTTTTTGGTCTTGATTGCCTCATCAAGTGTCGAAAAACGATGTCTGGAGAGAAGCAAGCTCAACAAGAACCTCAACCGCCTTCACCCACACAAGCACTTCGACATAGTTGAACTTGCTACCCACCTCTGGCCAATCCAGTAAGGTCATTCTTAGTTTCACCATCGGCAAAGTGCTCGATTCTCTTGCTGCTATCGAACTTTAAGAGATGTGTTTTGGATGTTCTCGAGAACTATATGTCTCACATTCTCTCCTGCAACGTACCTGGCTTCAGTCGGATCAAATGAAGAGGATTTCAAGACCTCTCCCATTGATTCCTTTGTAGAAATAATCTTCTTTAGAATCTAACTAAACTGTACAGTCAAAGCATCACTCGCCTTCTTCTCGTGGCTCCAACACGACGTGCTCTCATAACTCCGAGCATTGTCACCGTCAGAACTACATTCAAACACCGGCTTTGGCCAGGCATAAAAAAATAAAAGGATTGTTTGTGGCATTATATTGTATGATCTTAATGAAAAATCGTAAGGAACAGAAGTTACAGCACTTATAAAGTTCTGCCGGCCAAAAAATCAACGGAAATCATAAACATGCAATCAATTGTTGCCACAACTCGACCAGAAGGTTGAGTACAGAGTGCATGGAAAGGAAAATTCTGATCAAACCGCAATGCAAATGAGAAGTATAACCCAAAAGGAATCAAAATATTTTGTCCTAGGAAGAACATTTCTTCCAGAAAAATGAAAAATTCTTCATAGATAAGAGATAGATCAAAAAGGGAAAGAGGAAGAAGAAAACGACACAAAAAAATGGCAATAATTCAATTTGTGGTATATGAATGCGATGATGATTAATTTGTTGAGCGGTGTCGTCAAAGCTCCAATCGATCTTCCCGCTTTATCTTTAACCTTAAAATTTTCTCCATTTTCAATTTGAATTATATTTTCATTTTTGGTATCTTTAACTATTGCCAAATCAAATAATTCACCTTTAAGTTCAATGTTTAAATTTCTACCCCACGATTTTGTTATATTATTAAAGAAAATAATAAAACTTTAGTTTTAACTTGACCTTAAAAATTCAATGAGTATTATCAATTACACCCAAAAAGAGATCAGCTCTAACCCTTTTTCAGGTTGAAACATAGCCCTATGACATCACAAAGTTCATTAGATAGCTTACCAAACAATATTGTATGCATTAAAGGTGAGTGGGGAGAACAGATCCTTGTATAAGAAACAACATTTCATCATGATAAGGGAAAACAACTATAAATTATTCATATATGCATCATAATGCATATAGCGTTTATGAACAGGGGCTGGCTTTTCAGAAGTGTCCTCTGGACGGGGGAGGGGGGAAGAAGCAAATTATCAAACCATGTACTAACTAAGTAGAAGATAAGACAGAGCCTTGGCGCTGAGTGGGGAGAACAGATCCTTGTTTTTGGTAAAAGAGCAAAGCCAGTGGAAGTGCTACTATCTTCTGGCCATATGAGTGGTAGTATGTTTAGAAGTTGAAGCAGATTCCCTTCCAGCAAACATTGGCTTCTTTGTGGAAGAGACACTGCAGAAGAAAGGGACAAAGTGAACGTCAACGTCGAGGTCGTGAATAGGTGGTTCCGAGAGCACTGAGAACAACACTGCAAACAAATGTAACTTACCCAGGACCCTTTTGCACTGCGTTTCTCCGCCAGGCTTTTATATTTTTCATCTCTTGACTGTTCAAGAATAGGAAGGTATCAGTACTGGAGCCATTTCATTGAACACACATGAAAAAGGGCTTTGCTTCAGGCATGGAGAGGTAGTAGATACAGTTTATGAAAGAAATTAGAAGAGAGTAACTAGAAATTGTCGGGTTGGGTTCTGAAGAATATGAGGAAGGGTCTATATAGACATGCTTCCATGATTAAATTACAAATCACCCAGTTATAAGGACCAACTATTTGCTTCTGTTCTGAAGCACACAAAAGAAATGCTCAAGAATTCTATTGATAAAGAAGAGCTTTAAAATAGATGGGAAAAGCCATCTCATTTATTAATTTACTTGAAAGTGATTCCGTGATTAATTTATTTAATCTGTGCTCATGCATCAGATTCTAAGCGGAAAAAGGTCCAACTTTAGGTGCTCTCGTGTATAATTTTCATTTAAGGCATATTAGATTTTAGGCAATGTCTCTTAGTTAGCAACAAGCCATCAATTGTATGAGACCATTTTGTCAATCATAGCTATGCACAATATTTTCAGACTGGCCACTCTCAGGCATCAATTTAATAGTTATACCTCTGAAGCACTTCTATCTTTGCCTTTTTCAGCAAGTTGTTCTTAGTGTTGGACACATTGTAGCCAAACCCGGTTCCTAGGGAAAATCAAGAGAAAAATAACATGTAAATCATTTTTCTTTGCAGAGGGTGCCGGCTGCAGTATTTCCAGAATTAGAATCTATTGCCCAAAACAATTGTAAGGAGCAATAAAGTTTACCTCCAAAGCTTCTCTTATTGCTCGAAGGGGGAACCTTATTACAGATCTGTATTTGACGCTTTTGTTTTCCTGAAAATTCATGACTATCTTCAGAATCTTATATACTAAAAAAAATCTCTGCTTGAATTAACAAAAATATTATCAATACCATCTACACATAAGGATAAGAATAATACATTGGTGGGAATGGGAAATAATTTCCAGATAACATACATCATATGATCTAGCTATTTGTAAGTTTAAATTTAAAATTATGCCGAAATCCAATAGATAGTATGAACAGTATAATAGAACATACGAGCATCTTCATTTTTGTAGCATTGTTTAATTCTATCTGCAACTATGCTCTCATTCTTTTCTAGATCCTCCAACTTCGCCTGAAAGTAGATAGCTTCAGTTTAATGGTAATTTCTCAGAGAAATCATTATCATGCTAAGAAGTAAAATGAAATCCACCTCATATAATTGCAACCATCTAAATGACACTTTTTTCTGCTGCATCCTCGCAATTACAGCATTAGTACTATCTTTACCAAACTGTCTTTCGTAGAACTTTTTCCACAATTTATCAGTTACTGGAGTCAGATCTCTTCCCTAAAAGAAGTTCATATTTAATTTAGCATATACAATAAAGTGAAACCAGATAGTATAATAAGAAGCAAATCCATCTGATCTTACTTTTGAACTTTTCTCCACATGCATCAACTGGTCAAGAGTGCAATGTGGCAAAATACGCTCTAGAAGGTGTATATCAGTTTCGCCAACATCCCCAAGAAACCTCAGATTGTCTATAGCCGTGTTCACACAAAGATCAACCAGCGACGGAATTTTTCTTGCACGAAACATGTTTGTTGATCTCTTCTTTCTCAGGTTGCCACGCTATGAACAAAGAAGAAAAAGACCATTCAATTCAAACAACTGCGACATCTTTGAACAGCAGACAAAATACTAATTTGATAAATCAACTGGTATATATAGCTTAAGGTAACCAATTGCTCTACAAGAAAAATCAGGTGTCTCACATTCAAGCACTTCTTTCACCAAAAATTGACCCAGAGGTAACTAAATTCAAGACACTTCAAAAAAAAAAAAAAAAAGTCATGAATCTACAGCATCTTACGTAGTTCTTAGGTTTGAGCTACCAATCAAAATATAAGAGAGTGAAATAATTCCCCTAGGGTTTCACAAAAACAATAATTCCAAACTTTTCTTCTCAGCTAAATCATTTTGTAATTCAGGACAATAAAAAATAAGCATCGAGTTCAACAACTCCAGAAAAAGCTCGACATCAATGCAGACAATCCTAAATTCATTCAATAGATATTATAACGGAATAAGGAAGCAGATCGGATAAATTACAGAACTCATGATTAGAGAAATCATATTCGATCGTCCTATACAGAAAACAAAAATTAAAAAGAAATAATAACCCAAAGGAAGAAATCGATTCCATCTCTATACAATACGATCTGAGATAGATCGAGAAATTTAAGATCTTGATTGAGGAGCTTACCAACAGTCTGAGAAGACGGAGACGAGAATCGTTGAACCAGAGCGATCGATGAACTAGTTACCGATGCAATGGCCTGCAATCTTCATCCGAACACCTTATTTTATTTTAATTTCTTTTTCCTTTTCCTTTTCCTTTTCCATTTCCTTTTCTCTTTCTTGTTTCTTCTATGTTGCGGTGTTCATCTACAAGAGGCTATATTGCGCCGTTAATTACAAAAATCCTATAGATAAAATAAATAAATAAATAAATATGAAGAGATTCATTTTTTACTGCTTATTTAATTTAAATTTAATTCATTTATTTCAACTTTAAAATTTCCAGCTGTGGATTTGGGTAGGTGATTATATTTTGATAAGACTTTAAATTATAGCGTTTCATATTAACTAACCAATATATTAATGCTGTGTTTCCAAATGTATTTTTCAACAGTGAAAATCTAATTAAGGAAAATAGAAGTATATGCCAATGCTAATTAAAGGAAAAAAAACATAAAACAAATATAAAATGAGCTTCCTTTATAATCCCTTTGTTTTTTTTTTTTTAAATTAAGCTTAGAGATATCCTATCTGTTTTTTTATATAATTTTTATTCTTTTTAAAATCTAGACAAATTTTAAAAAGGAAAAAGTGATTTTCAAAATTTACTTTTGATTTTAAAATTTGAATCAAAGTTCAAATATATTTTATAGATAAGTTAGAAACTTATTAATAAAATTATAAAAATAAACAAACATAATTTTTAAAAACATAAAATTAAAAGCAGAATATTCATCAAACGACACCTAAGCAAAAATTAAAATAATTCCATCAATAGTTTACATAGAAACCAATGTCAACAAAAAAATAATAATAATAATAATAGAAATACGCCAAGGTATTGCCATAGAAACAAAAATACCTCAAAGTTTTGACTTTGATATGGCCTTATTTTAACCAGTGAATTAGAGAGAGTAATTTTTTTAAAACAAATTTGTACTACATTTAGAGTTTATTTTATTTGATATTATTTTTTGTGAGTAACAATTAGTAATTTAATTCAAGAACATATTATAATTAGTTGCGCAGTTAAACTTTCATATAAGCCAAGGTATTGCCATAAAAATTCAAAGAACACAAAAAATTCTGATAATTTATATGGAGTCAAAATAAGTTTATATGTTTTAATTAGTTGTAAATTTATTATTATTAATTTTTTTACAACAACAAATATTCAAACTACAACCCTAAATAAACAATTGAATTGTACTCATGTGGTCAATTTTAATAAAAGAAATAAACAATATAAGTTGATGATAAATTTGTATACAAAATTGATCATAAATTTTATTAACAACGTCTATTAGATTCAGAATTTCTGTTTATTACCCTAACAACTAGTTAAGTTTTCATGTTAAATAATTTCTTACACTTTTTTTCTAGAATAGTTTTCGGAAAAATGTCACGTGCAAGGTCTTGTGATAATATGATTTTACGGTAATATGGTTTTAAGATAATAATACTTTTGTTTCATATAATAATAATAATAATATATATATATTTTGGGATAAATGTCCAGTTTTTTATTTTTTATTTTTTTTTAAAGTCCAATCCATCAAATTTTCGTAGTAGTATATACCTTTTTTATTGAACTCGACCAATTAGTATCTCAATTTCAAAAGCAATGTCAATTACGAATCACTAAATATATAAAACAAATTTGTATTAAATATTGAATTGAACATGAAAATTTTCTAATCCCACATGGATGGGATTGAATCAGTCAAAGAAAAAGGTGTCTTATAATAATATATTTGGAAAAACTAAATAATATTTTTAACATAAAAAAAAAGGGAAAAAACCGTCTACCTAGCTATGTTATATATAAATAGGTTCATAATAGGTGATAGACTTTGCCATTTTATTTTTTTAAAACTCTATCCTGATTTTGCACTTTTATATATATGTGTATATGTGTAATATATACATATGAATTATGCATATGTGTGATGTGTGTAAAGGGTTACAGGAAATTTTATCTCTCAATTTTGTCATTTTATTTATTATTTTTATTCTTGAATTAAATAAATTTATTTACCAAAATTAATTTATGCAACCTTCCTGTTTGGAAAAAAATAATGAGGAGAAAAGACAAGAGCTTAATTAATTTTTACAACTTTCAATTTCATTAAATTGTATCTTAAACTTGAATAAACATTACAGTCTTCACTCTGAACTTTTAAATAATGTTGCACTTATACGTGCAAATGAATTATAAAACATTTAATTACTATTAAATTGATAGAATTCAAACAAAAATTACATTAGATTGATTTTTTTAATTTAAATTTGTAAGTATTGACAAGGTTATATAATGGTTTTGGTGCACCGTTCCAACTTAATTTTGTGCAAAACTTACTTTCCATTAAATTAGTAAGTTATTGAAGTTTTCTATTTTTTTTCTTTTCAAATTAGTAGTTGAATTAATGGAAACGAAGTAAAGGATAAAAACTGCACCACTTATCTAAAGTTAGAATTAAATTTACTGAAATTAGAAAGTTGATAGTAAAAATGGATAATAGTGGTCAAATTGAGAAGTAAAAATAATTTTCACAAAATAATAAATAAGGAAGAAAAGGTTTGAACTTACGCGACCGATGGAAAAGACTGTTTAACTCTGACTATCACAATCCGCAATTTTATTCAACAAGAAAAGTCAAAAGCTCAGCCTTATTGTCGTCTTTTCTTTTTAATTATTTGCTTCAATTATTTTTAGCTGCTCAAACTCCATCCAAAACCATCATTCAAAAATAAATTTAAAAAGTGCTCCATTATTTTTTTTTACAAACAATACAGAGATGGAGAATTGAGCCACAACTCTTAAAAAAATTAGTAAAATAGGTTGAACTAAATTTATGTTTTTTTTGAAGCAACTAAATTTACGTTGACAAAACTATTTCATTCTATTATTGAGTTTATAAACATGTTAGATGTTAACTCGATTGTTTGTTCTGTTTACCATCTAAATTATATTTAGTTAAAGTAATTGACCGAATCTAATTTAATCATTTAATTTGAATTAATTTAAATTGTTCTAATAATTTATATTAAACGAAATTGTTATCCCGATAAAGAAAGTTAAATTGAGTATAATTATTAGTTAAAACATTGGTAGTCTTGAACAATATAGAAGTTCAAACTTTGCATCCACACATTTGCGACGTTGTATTCTAAATATAAATAAAATATTGTAAAATAAAAATTGGTAATATTCTAACTAAAATATTTATTATTTTCAACTCGAAGCATAATTTAGTGGACTTTTTTTTTCTTTTCTAAATATTACTAAAAATAAACTATTTTTTAAACTGCTGTGAACTCTAAACTAATTTTTAAAGTAATTTTCTACCCATATGTGACAATTCGCGTCACGTATGTTGAGGTGACATGTATTATGTATTAGAGTTATAAAAAAATAGCATAATTTAAAAAAAAATAAAAAAAGAACTTTTATTTTTAATAATATTAAAGTATTCTTAAAAGAAATTACAAACTTTTTAAATATAATCTCCACCTGTGGTTAACGGAGATTCCCGTCGGGCGCCGCCCCAGGACAGCCGTGCGACGCGACGGAGTCCCTTTTCCAATACGTTGTGCGCTTACGTCGCCCATCGTTATATTACGTAATAATTAAATTTTCAAGTAGATTTCAATAAAAAAGGAAAAATTAATTGGTCTTTTTTTTTTTCTTGTTAATGAATCCAGTCAAATTGACCTAAATTCATTCAAAGATCCCAAATAAAAACATAAAATAGAGAAACATACGACTTTATCCTGAGAGTTGAAAATTCATCCTCCACAGCCAGCCTCTGGTCAACCCCTTTTTGAGCCTCTCTTTTCCTGACTTTTTCCACCACCGCGTCTATAAATCCCCCCTCCCCATTTCTTCATTTTTCAGCACAATCAAAATTCAAATCCTTCTGCTCATCAAAGATCTCAATAATTTTTTTTCTTTCTTTTTCTTCGAGTTCTGGTTTTGTTTCTGATCGCATCCAACTCTGATTTCTGTTCACTGAATTCTGAGAAACCCAGCGGCGACGACGGCGGCGCCGGAAATGGACAGTTCAGAGGTAAGCTCCGGCGCACCGCCGCCATTTTTGACTAAAACATACGAGATGGTGGACGACCCATCGACAAACGCCGTCGTATCGTGGAGTCAAAGCGGTTTCAGCTTCGTGGTTTGGAACCCACCGGAATTCGCCAAAGAATTGCTCCCAATATATTTCAAGCACAACAATTTCTCCAGCTTCGTTCGCCAATTGAACACTTACGTGAGTTCGAATCAGACATCAAATTTCACAACCCCATCGTCGTTTTCCCCTGTTTTTTTTCCTAACATTAATCAATTCCTCTGTTTTTAGTTAAAATCCTGAGAGCAAAATTGTGGTATCTCTGTTTAGGGGTTCAGGAAGATCGATCGAGAGCAATGGGAATTCGCAAACGAGGGATTTGTAAGAGGACGAACCCATCTTCTAAGAACCATCCACCGACGGAAACCAATCTACAGCCACAGCCAGAACCAGAGCCATAGCCAGAACCAGGGCCAGAGCCATAGCCAGAGCTCCAATGGATTTCCATTTTCGGAACCAGAGAGGCAGGAGCTGGAGAACAAAATCAAGATCCTGAATCAAGAAAACACCCAACTTCAATCACAGCTGCAGAAGCACGAAAGAGAGAAAGAAGAAATCGAGCGCCAAATTCAGTCGCTCTGTAACCAATTATGGAGAATGGGGAATGAGCAGAAGCAGCTAATTACCATGCTGACGGCTCAATTGCAGAAGCAGCATCCGAGCAAAAAGAGGAGACTGTGGAAACTGAACGACTTATTGCTGGAAGACCCATCGGAGTGGGAGAAAGAGGAGAAGAATGGTTGGAAGAGCGTGATGATTCCGCCATTGGAGCTGATGGGGAAGCTTGAATCGTCGTTGGGGTTGTGCGAGGAGTTGCTGTGCAGCGTGGCGAAGGTGGTCGGAGAAGAATCGAAGGTGGTCGGAGAAGTCAAGGTTGTGGGGTCGAAGGAGGGGGATGTGAGAAATGGAGCGAATGATGTGTTTTGGGAACAGTTTCTGACGGAGATTCCAGGCTCTTCCAATGCAGGGGAAGTGATCTATTTGAATAGAAGGAATAATGTTGTAAATTAGAGAGAATTTAGATGTTGTAAATGATTCATTTCTGTAGCCTTTTTGCTCTTTAGGATTCTAATTGAACGTGGAAGTTTTGTTTTTGTTTTTTTTTTTTTAGAAAATGTGAAACCTTTGTTCGAACTTCCGACTTAGAGAATGGACAAGATGTCTCTTGAATTGCTTATATTCGTGTAAATTTTAATCTTGAACTTCGATGAAAATCAATTTTAACTTGAAAAAAAACTATGAACTTGAATAATTCTAATAAAGTTAATTGATGCGTTAGTCAACTAATGAAAGGATCGATGATGTGGTCGTTATTATTAATTGGACTAGGATCGACAAAATATATTAATTTGATATTACTTTTTTGATTAGACATGCGAGGTGGCAAAATGTTGATTATTTGAGAGCAAATTTGGCTAATTGTTGAAAGCTACCAGTCAACTCCAGCTGGACAATTGGACTTGTCAAAGAGCCACATCAGCATCCTTTTATGCCATCTCACCATTTTTTCATTGTTGAATCTTCATGGGTCGGGTTTTCTTTAAACGGGTTATGTTATGAACCTGAAGTTAGTTAGAATTCTTCTCTGTACATGTCAGTTACAGAGAGAGGGGAGCATTTTGAGAGTGGGTGTAAGAGAGAGAGGGAGGGTTCTTCTTCTTCCCTGAAAATGTACTCTGATAAATTAGGGTTTTAGAGTTTTCCGTGTATGAGAGCTGAACTTTGCAGCTGATTTATGCGCCTGAGGATTTCTGCGCCTCTGTTCCGTAGGAGGAGCGGTTCCTTGCTCTGAATCGATTAAGTGAATGATCCAACCGCTATAATCTTGTGTGTTATTCTTCTCTCCCTTTACTCACTGTTACGTTTAATTTCATATTACTTGATCAACAATAGATTAATATTTCGGTTGGGCTGCTGCTGTTTTTGAAGCATATTAGTTAAGTCTTGTGCTGGTTGGTGTATCTGTTAGCTCATTTATTTTATCAGATTGCTATTAGAACTTGTTTTATACTCATTTAAGTTCTTTGAGACTTGTAAATATTGTTCATTCATGGCTCCTCATTTGAGGTTGAAAGATTTTATGGTAAAGGAGATTTTGCTTTGTGGAAAAAGAAAATGAGAGCCCTCCTTCTTCAGCTTCAGTCTCTAAAGCACTTGACGATCCAAAGACTTGGTCTACTCTGAAAGAAGATGAGACTGAAGAGATGAATTAGGATATTGCTTTTAGTTCAATTATTTTTTATCTTGCAGATAATGTGTCCTTCGAAAAGGTTCACGAGGCAAAAACTGCTCTAGAAATATGTACTAAGTTGGATTCTATTTAGAGACCTCAGGAAAGTCTTTTACCACTAAGCTATGTTATACGTCAAAATGGATGTGACCAAAGACCTTGAGCAGAATCTTGATGAATTCAACCCAATTGTAATTTGTGCTAGATTTAAGTAATATTGATCAAGTAATGTCGGATGAAAACAAGGTTATTATATTGTTAAATTAAATACACTCCCAGGTTCATGGGATGAGATAAAATCAGAAATCAAATATGGGAGGGATAGCCTTAGTTTAGACATTGGTAGTGTTGAGATATTGTGGGTATCGTCTTAAAAAGAAAGAGAAAAAAAAAAGTCTTTGATGCATGAGTGTGACTTGTGGGTATCTCTTTTCTTTTCTTTTTTACCCGATGTATTCCCGTACGAGAGTTCAAACCTCTGATCTCTTCAATTACCACCTAGTTATGTTCATGTTGAGTATTTTTGTTTATATCTACTGGTAATGGAATGCTTTGACAAGTTATCAAATTAATATTATTCATTACTTGAATTTTAAGATTTTTTAAAAGATATTTGATGCTAGCCGTAACTTTTGTTTTTTTATCGGTCGAAAATTATTTTTGTAGGTATTGATTTCTTTGATATGTTAATAGGTTTTTACATATTTGAACATCAATGGCATGATTTTCTATTTAGATTTAATCCTGAAATAATGATTTTGTATTCAGATTTTCACTTAAAATACATTTGAAACCATAGCATTTTCATTTATCCTAAACAAAGCAAAATTTTAATTTTCTTTAGTTTTTAAGTTGAGAATTATTTTGGGCGTAGGTTAGAGAACATAGAAAGACGGTCAGATGTCCCAACCTTTAGTCAATAGACAGCCCAAAACAGAGAGTTCAAAGAATAGACTATTGCTCCTTTGAGAGAACCTAATGAATTAACAAAATGTCCTTCACACTTCGCCTTCTACTGCTATAAACCAAAGAAAAATCTTTTCTATTGCTTTCCTCTGTCCTTAAAAAAAAAACAGAGGAGAGTTCAAATCAACCCCTAACATTCCATCAATTATGGGTTGAAAAGCTTCCAAAGATGTATAAGAAAGAGCCCCTGATAATTCGTTATTAGAAAGCCAAATAGTAGAGTGAAATACTTTATCCTCAAAATTTGTGACGAAGAGACATCTAAAACTTTGTGACGAATCTTCCTCCATGTAAGAAAATAACTCAATGAAATCGTTTCTAATTTTAAACAAACTCATCGGTCTTGGATAATTAGTCCAACAACCACGATGTTTGGTTTCTTGCATTTCGCTTTTTATACCTAATCTTTTCTTCTATTGCAAGGAAATTAATGTAGTTGCTTTAATTTGGCATCACAGACTCACTCAGTTTGAAAGCTCTATATACGTCGGAAAGTATGGAAACACGATCGCGTCGATTAAAGAGACTGATGAGAGAAGAAGAACGAGTTGATAGGATTAGCCAACTTCCCCATTCTATTCGTGTTCTCATTCTCTCATTTTTACCCACTAAGGAGGTTGTGAAGATGATACTTGTTCCACCATTCAGGGATGTGTGGACTCGCAGTCGCAATCTCACCTTCGATCAGAATGAGTTTCATGACAGTAATAGTCGTATTCCTGATGCTCCACATTACAACACGAGGTTCGTGAACTTTATCCGAAACATGTTGAGGGTTCATGTAGGTGAAACTATTGATGAGTTTCATCTCATATTCTGGTTAAATTTGATTTACGAGGAACATACTACGCATTCTCATTCAAGTTATCTGAAAGTGAAATCTATGGAAAGTGAAATAACTCACTGGATAAAATTTGCTGTGCGCAAGAGCGTTAAAGTTCTGAACCTCAACTTATTAGCTTCACGAGGGGGTCGTGTAATTAAGTATGAACTGCCTGATCTTGTTTTTAGGTGTAATGATCTCAGGGAGTTTATGTTAGCTGGCTGTGTAATCAGGAAGCCTTTGGTTACTCAACTCAACTCACTTAGAAAGCTATCCCTTAGGGATATAGAGTTGAGTGACAATATTATGAACAGCATCGTGGAAGGGTGCTCGGTGCTCGAAGAACTTTCTTTCCTCAGTTGTTCTGGGGTTCGTATGCTTAGGTTGGCTAATCCTCGTGTTAAAAGACTGATTATTTCCATTGGATGGTTTGAGGAAAAGTTGGTAAAGAAGAAGTTGGAGATTATCTGCCCTCATGTCACATCACTGGAAATCTCAGGAGCGATACCGCTTGTGGATTTAAAGAATTCATCTTCTGTCCTTGATGCTTCCCTTCGCTATGACACCATTTTCTTCAAATGTGCACCAAAAAAAATATGAAAAGATGCGAACACTCCTCGAGCAGTTAACTCAAACTGGTGTTCTTGTGATGTGCAGTAAAATGATTTTGGTACAACTTTCCCTCCTCATTTACCTTGTTTAGATTGTAAATTTCATAAAAACTCTAATGTTTTCTAATTGCACTTTCAGGTCTTTACCACATGGGCATTGAGAAACATGCCTTTCCCTGTCTTCAGTTCACGATCTCTTACCTTAGAGCTTCAATTTTCAAAATGGCTTCTCCCCGGAATACGTGGCATACTCAGAAATTCATCTCATTTGGAGACACTGACTATTTACATCCACTCTGAACCACTGCCGAACCGTATTATGGAGGTACAAGAAGTTAGAAGTTAGTTTATCTTTTCCCATTTGAATGTTTTAGATTAGGAGTAATGTGTTGTTTTATTTTCTTTGAATTATCAGAGCAACCAAGCGTTGTGGATGTGGGAGCATCATGATTTCGATGATGGGGATTACTGGAAGTCTCGGGAACCCGATGTTGCTTTGGGTATGCTCAAGACCATAAAAATATATGGTTATATAATAGAGCCATCAGTTTTGCCCATTATAGGATTTCTAATGAAGAAAGCATTGGTCTTGGAGGAGATGGTTATTTCTAATTCTGCCACAGTGTTCGAAGCGGTAGATATCGATACTGATGAACTGTTTGAACTTTGTAAGAATTTGTTGAAACTTCCCAGGGCCTCCCCCTCTGCAGTAATCAACTTCTGTTGATTTTTTGAATTCATAGCGAAATGACTTCATCTAATTTGCTTGTCTTCAATTTTGAATCTTGATTCAATAGTGAATACTTTGTAGCATTTTTTCTACAGTACCATCAATAACCTTACTCTGGGATATGCTAAAGGAAAACTAACTTGTTTTCTTGCTGGTGTTATTAATTCAATCATTTATTTGGTGAGATGAATGTGATTTCTTTTCTAATAATTATTCCTCTCTTGAGGGTTAGAATCTACGTATGATATATCTTGGAATTGAATAGAAAAAATTGACCTTTAGAGAAATGCAGATACCTGCAGATATGGTGTAAATACAACATTTTTTATTTGGCTAATGTTGCCTAAATCAGACAGGCTCAGTCAGGTTTCGGTTTCGAATGCCTCCAAGAGCTGTTAACCCATAAGGCTGGTCTCATCTCTTCACAAGGTAATACTTCTCTTACTTAAATGTTTCTTTTAGTATAACATGTGAGGTGGAGAATTGAACTTGCAATCTTTTGGTTTGAGATATATGTCAGTTACCGTTTTGATTTTGATTTAAATGTTATTCCATATTCTTTATGATTTTTCCTTGTATATCAGTATATATTTGTCTGTAATCTTTGGCTTTAATTGTTACCAAAGATTGAGCTATTTCCTTTCTCGTAACATTGACTATTTTATAATAAAGGGTCTTCTCTAGCTAAATATATAAGGCAGAGAGCTTTTATTCCAGAAAATACAGTAGCTCCAGACCTGGATCCGGGATTCTAGACTATTTTAATCAAATTCAGGTAAATATAATTATGCAAGTTTGCAAGGAAACAAAACTTGTTCAGAATGTGGACAAAGTTGCAAAGTAGAATGTTAGAGGAGCAAGATATTGACCCCCCATAAAGAATAAAGGATACTTGGCGGTTGGTATGCAGTGTGCAAGTTTCTTGTTTTACTTGGATGTGATATTGTAACTTCCAGTACTTTGGAGGAATTTATGTTGTACCCTTATCATATATTCATTCTTCTTTCCCGTTGTAAGATGGAAAAATGGTTCTAAAGCTATAATTATAAAGCCTTTCAAACTTCTCTCTATCTTAAAAAAACTCTCTCTTCTTGCGTACTTTGCCCAAATTCCAATTCTGATCATTTTACAAAACATTTGAAGATTTTTCCAGATGGATCAAAATGTAAGCTTTTGTTCCACATTTTTCTTTCCTTCCGCTACTTTGAATAACCATTCTAATTTTAGTCTTCTGTTTTTTTCTTACCATTTCTTTGATACGCAAAATTTAACTTTTTTTTTTAACCTTCTTCTTATTATTATTTTGTTGTAAATGATTTTAAAAAAGTAAATGATAAAATAAGGAAACACAGGGGTAAAATTAGTGTTTATATATATATATGTTATAATTAAAATTAAAATTATTATTATTATCCATAAAAGTCTAAACTTTTTCCTCTCATCTCTTGTAAAAGCAGCATTATTAGATGCAGGAGAAGAATAAAGCCATCTACTTCATTCTCTTTAAATTAGACTAATGTTTGATGTTTATGAATGACTTGTTTCCTCCCATATTTTTACTTCAATGCAACACAATGAATCAAGATTTATCAATATTGTTAATTTGAACATAGTTTAACTAGTTGATAAGTATTTTTGACAAAAAAAAAAAGTTGGAATCTTGAAGCAAAACAAACAAACAACTTTTCTGTAAAAAACGATCAGTCTTTGTGTTCGGTCTAAATAAATTTTAAACAAATAAAGATAAAAAGCTATGAAATTTACCTAAAACAAAAGGTCAAACCTACGATTGTCAAACATTCACAAAGTATTGCTCTTCTCATCTTACAAGTATACATGGGTTAATTTATCACTTTTTTTTTTTTTTTTGAGATAAGTTTATTTTATCACTTTTGGTGCTGCTCATTTTCTAACTATAAAATATATAATTCTTACTAAAAGGACTAGCAGCTTATAAATTCGTCATTGATCTAATCAAATCCATTAAAAAAAAGCATAAACTCGATTTTTTAATCTTAAATTAGAGTAATAATTTTATAATTGAACAAGACTTACCTACGAGAATAGAAGTCGATCACACTAACATCTCTAAACTATTAAGAATACGAGAAATTGAAAAGTCAATAAGATCTCATTTGAATAGGTATGTAAGTAAATATTTGTCTTTATTGATTTATACAATTCAATAAATATGAAATATCGATTTTCCTATCATATTTAGATTTAGTTTGGGATTGTTGTACCTTTTCAACTAAATTAATATTTGTTAAATTTCATTTTTAAATATAGAAACAACAGTTCACAGTGTTTGGTAAATCCTAATATTGTGTTTAATATTTAATTTTAGGTTAACATACTGTATTGGTATTTTTATACATTTGGCTTTATTCATTTGGGTCTCTATACTCTCAACAACTTTAGTTCATTTTAGTCTTTGCACTCTCAAAATATTCATTTTGATCTCCATACTTTTAAAAAGTTACCATTTTAGTCATTGTTTACAAAATTTTAATACGAATTCTACTCGGAACGAAATTCCTTTAGTATAAAGTCATGATTACATTTTGTTATTAAGGATAGGGGTGTAGATGTAGGAGACCTGAATGGCTCCACGTGGCGGTTGAGACCAATCTCACGGAAGAAAACAACCTAGAAAGGAGGTAGTCGAGAAATTAATATCTTGGTCGGTTATCATTTTATATAGGGGATTTGTAATGTGTAGCATATAAGTTTTCTATATTTAACAAAATAGCATGTTTTTTTTTATATTTTCAAATATAGTATTTTTCTGAAAATACTAATTTTAAAATTTTCAGTATTCCCAAATTACCCTTTTCAGTTATCGCGCATAAACTTTCCCAATTTCTTTTCGTTATTATATATCAAACATATATCGCATATATATCAAGAGTATATCTGACAACATTAGTATATCAGAAGTAAATCAATAGTATATCAGAAGTCAATCAGTTATATATCAGTTGTATAATAGTAAATCACTATTTTACCTACTTTAACCCTTTGTCTTGTATTTTTTCTTATCAATTAGAAATCAGTAGATATTGGCATGTATGGAAAATGAGAAAAAATTTGATACTTACTGAAAATGAGAAAGGAAACTTGAAAGGAACGTGAATTACTGTGAATGAGAAATCGAAGGGAAGAAGATGAATGAGCAATCAATTAGAGATTAGAGGTAAATAGAAATTTAGGGTTTTTCTGTATATCAATAATATATCAGTGATATATCAAGTATACATCGTACATATATCAGTAGTACAATTAAGTTTTATTTAAAGTTTTAAAGATCAAAACGAAATCAGCAACAATGTCATTCTTAAAAGATTTAAACATCATTCTTGGGTATCAACATCAACATCAAATTAGCAGCAAAGTCCTTCAACGAAAAACTTAAAGGTTTAACATCAAAACGAACCAGTAGCATAAACAAAAAGTAGACTAACAATGTCATTCTTAAAATTCTATAAAAGAAGAAGCGTAAGTTCCAACAGTCTAGAAAAGCGTAAGTTTCATTCTTGTATAATCTTTAGGTAAAAGCTTGGGACATCAATCTTCGGTGATTGTCGTGTCTTCAGAGATAATATCTTTGAAACTTTCTGTTTTTCCATAGACAACACTTTTGGCGTTGGTTTACGTTGTCTTTTGGGACGAACGACATCAACATTTTCGACGATGTTATTTTATTTCATTTTTTGTGTTTGTACCATTGCTTTTATCTGGAAAAAAAATTATTTCATATATTAATAGTATCTCAGAAAACATATTAGAGGTAATATGTTCAAAATAATTGGTAGATATCATAGTTATATCAGAAGTAAATCAATTTCATATCATATGTATATCAAACGTATATCACATATATATCAATAGTATATCTGCGAATCATAGTTATATTAGAAGTAAATCAATAGTATATCAGAAGTCAATTAGTCTATATCACCTATAGTAGTAGATATCATAGTTATATCAGAAGTAAATCAATTTCAAAACAGATGTATATGAAACATATATCACATAAATATCAGGAGTATATCTGTCAATCATAGTTATATCATAAATAAATCAATAGTATATCAGAAATCAATCAATTATATGTCACCTATAGTAGTAGATATCATAGTTATATTAGAAGTAAATCAATTTCAAACCATATGTATATCAAACATATATCACATATATATCAGGAGTATATCTATCAATCATTAGTATATCAGAAGTAATTTATTGTTGGTTCGAACATGCAGGGTATACTTGTAATTTAGAACGTGGGCCTCCGTTTTTTTGCAAAAAAGATGCTATATTTGAAAAACTCAAACCTTGTTGCTATTTTGCTTATTTTCCTAACTTTTTTGCCATATCTCAAGTTGTCTCTTTTATACATAAACATTTTATATTTATAAATGATTAGTGATTCTATTTAAATTAATAAACAAATTGGTTCTACCAAATTATTTGTAAGGCCTACAAAATCAATTTCAAGCCTTTTACCAATAAAATAATTGTAACACTCGAGTAGAGAGAAGGGGTACAATGATCCATTGTCAAATTATACCATTCTTTTTTTTTTTAAATTCAACATGTAGGGTGAGTAATCGAACTTACAATCTCTTAGTTAGAAATATATGTCAATTACCGTTAAACTATACCTGCTTTGACATGTAATAATATATTTTCAAACATAATAATAAATATAATAGAATGACAGGCAGTTTTTTTTAAATAAATCTTAACAATCTAAATTTATAAATATTAAAAAAATAATATTTATGAAATATTTGGTTGTATGACCCACTGGACACCATTTTCGTAATATTTTGTAATTTTTGGATCAACAAATGGTTTCGTTTCGGTGTTCGTGTTCGGGCCGCCGTGGGGTTTTTTGGGCCATAGTCGAATCCATTAACATTCGTCCCGTAATCGTCTCTAAAATTGGTGGCGAACCCTGTATTTCCCTCTGCAATTTCACCGTTGCTTTGGGAAAACTTTCGTTTGGTAATCTTCAGTTTCACTTTACGATTTTTCTACTGGCTACTCCGTGGTCGATACATAATTGTTCCATAAGTGGTTTCTGTCGTATTCCTGAGATAGCGAAACGACGTGATTGTTTGAATTCGTGTTTTGTAATCGTCTCCTCCTTTTTCCTATTGAGTACTGAGTTATTTTGCTAGAGGCAGAGCCGAGCAGTTCTGTGAATTTTCTTATGGAAGGAACTAACGACCCAACAATGGTGCGTAGTTCAAAGTGGGTGAAGGTTTTAGAGGGTCAAAACGATTGGATTGGCCTGCTTCCGGAGTCTGTTCTTGTCGACATTCTTCCATATTTGCCACAAAGGATGCTGTAAATATGGCGTTGGTTCCCAGATTCAGGAAGCTCTGGACCTTTATTCGTTGCCTCTCCTTCGATCAGTGTGCATTCCACGACCACGACCACGACCACGATTGTGGTGACAATTATTACGATGGTCCAAACTATGATGAGAGATTCTTACGATGGTCCAAACTATGATGAGAGATTCTTAAATCTGATTCGCCATGTCTTGATACTTCATGAACGTACTACAATCGATGAGTTTCACCTCAAATTTGCTTTCAATTTGTTCAATGTTATTCATGATGATCCTGAACATCCTGATTATGCATTTAAGGAGAAACGAATGGCAAGTGAGCTTACTACATGGGTTAAATTTGCTTTGAGGAAACAAGTCAAGGTTCTTGATCTTGATTTGTTGGGATGTGGTTTGCACGAGGGCCCAGTTATGAGTTGCCTAATAGTGTTCTAGTCAGTAACTGTCTCAAGGAGCTCAGTTTGACTGGCTGTGGAATCAAGAAACGAGGGCCCATTCAGCTTAAGTCACTCACAAAGCTATCCCTCGTGGAAATAATGTTAAGTGATAAGATTATGGATGAAATCTGTGAAGGATGCCCAATGCTTGAAGACCTTTCTCTCAATGGTTGCTGTGGTCTTTCTAAGCTGAAGTTGACTAATCCTAATATCAAGAGGTTGAATATTTTCATTGGATGGAGAGATGAAATGGCAAATTCGAGCTTCCATATAAGCTGTCCTAGTGTCAAATCATTAGAAATTTCTGGGTCACTACAGCTTGCACGTTTGAAGCTTTCATCTTCTTTTTCTGATGCTGCCCTTTGTTTTAGCCGCAACTTCAAGTGCGAACGCAGGATATATGGAAGCATCCAAATGCTGCTGTTGAAGGTAGCTGAAGCCAATGTTTTCAGACCATGCACATGGACCACTTTGGTACTTCCTATCTCTATGTTTATGCATGCTTTTAATTTAAGCTTTTTTATTGCAATACTTTGTTTAGAAGGCCTTTGTTTAATAGTTATTTTATCCCATAACTGATAAATTGCAGAAATAAATTAATCAAGGGTGGGTAGATGCCTACAGCATGGAATTTAAACCCATTCCCCAACGTCTCTTTACTTTTTAAGTTTGGCATGACTTTTAAAACAACAGTGGAAAGTGATCTCTTAGCTAATTAAAAGCAACATTTAAAACCACTTATTAAGTTCTTAATTAGTGTTTTTCTTTTCATAAGTACTTAATAGAAAAAATATTTCACCTAGAAACACTACTCTCAATGTCATCTCATCCCCACCTTGACTAAATTACAAAATTTAGGATTCCTAGGTTTCTCCCTGATTCTGTGTCCTGTGGCATTAATGTGAATGATTAGTGACTAACCAAGATCATTAAGTGGGAATATGTTTTGTGGTTGATACCTTATTATTTATATGATATGGGCTGCATGCCAATTCTTTATCTTATGCTTGCCCATATCTCTTTTAACCCTCTTTAATAAACTGTGATTGAGTTCTGGAATGCAGTTGGAATTTGTCAAAACATGTCTTTTTACTATGTTTTATCAATTAACCAATTCCCATTTTTAAAAAAATAATTTTGGTGTGTCTTTAGGTCTTCACCATATGGAACTTGACACATGTGCCAACTCCTGCCACTGGTTGGAAGTCTGTACAGTTCAGACTTCTTTTCACAAAGTGGCACCTGCCTGGAATATGCAGCATTCTCGGGACTTCACGTTGGTTGGAGACACTGACTTTTTACATTTACCCTGGATCCCACTTCACATTCATGGTACAAAAATACTTCACAACATGACAAACATTAGCTAGCTATTTTTACACTGTTTGACTCTGCTACCTCTTTATGCATAATCTGAACTTTGCCTTTTCTGCAACTCTCAGCAGGAGGAAGCAAAGTGGATGGAAGAAGTCACAGAAAGACCCTTTCCTTTGCCTCACAAAGCACCTCAAGTCTGTTATGATATACGGGTACGTGACTGAGCCATATGTGTCTGAGCTTATAGAATTTTTACTGAAAAAGGCCTTGGTCTTGGAGAAAATGGTCATTTCTACTAATAGGACCCTCCGTCGCATTCATCCATACGAGTTTTTAGACGCTGAGAAACAGAAGGCTCATTTAGCTTCTAAGGAACTGCTTGAGTTCTCTCAGAAATTGTTGACCTTAGAAAAAAAACGTTACCAAATGAGTCCTTAATTTCTTCAATTTCTCTTTTAACTTTTAAGGTGTGTTTAATAGGTGTTTTGAACCTTAAAAGCTGGATAACAAATTTCAAGAAATTTTAAATTTTGTGTCAAATAGATCTTTAACCTATTCAACATCTTCAAAATTCATAGGACGGAAAATTAAATCTTGTATTTAATAGAAGCATGAGTAAATAAATTTTCGAATATGTGGGAATTTATTGGACACAAAATAAAAATTTTGGAGACCTATCAAACCTTATAAAATTTAGAGACCTATCGGACACTATGTTGAAAGTTCGGGACGATGTAAAATAACTGAATTAGCCCTTAAGCACTGCCCCTGACGGCTGTGTTCCATACTTCCATTGCAGGTGCGCAGGAATGAGGGGAGGGTTTCTTTGTTAGCTCTTATACTGAAAGCGTAAGAATGAAATAATGGTATAGCAAGGAATAAAATTATGATCCACATGTAGATTTTTTTGTCGTCAACTTGAAAGAGAGACAAAATAAAACATTTGATGAGGATTTATGGGACTGCCTTTTTTTTCTTTTTTTTTATGCTAATGTTTTGATTAAGTCAAATCACTCGATAATCATATGGTTACTGAGTGATGGATTATAGGCCAGCCAAATTTATTTTATAGGAACGTGAGATAGTTATCTCAAGATGCTAGCTAGAGTATCTTAAGGTATTTTAGATGTCTTCTCTGAACCTAGTTTTTTAAGATTCTCACGTCGATGGCATTCTCTCGTTACATTTTCACTCTTTATTCTCTTTTCATCCATTTTTTCCTTTTTTTTTTATTTTACCTGTACAGTTCATATTTTCTACCATAAGAGCATTTCTATCGCCTAGCCCAACGAATTAAAATTGGCCTGTAATTTTTTTTTTGGCACCCAAAAAGATTAATATTTTTGAAAAAGCCTAAATGGTTAAAAATTATCCGAAGAGAATTTAATACTTTTTAATTTGTTAAATCTATTTTTTCATTTTTTAGTACAAAATGTGAGGTGGGATTTGAACCCATGACCTTTTGATTGGGATATATATCTTAACACTGAGTTAAAGTACAATTTATTAGATCGGATTAAAACTAGTAGAAAAAAGAAGAAGAAGAAAATCTTATGCACTCTACTTGAAAATGTTATTTTAATTGAATAAAGAATTAGAGTTTGAATATCCAACCAAGAGAGAGATATTTTCATCTTGAAATATTTATACAAAGAAATTGAAATTAAAAAAAATAGCATAGAAAGTGAAGATTTGCTCCCGCAGGGGAAATAATTTAATAATTCAGAGTAAGCTATTACTACATATTACAAAGGGCTTGAGCCTGCCTGGGCAACAATAAATCTGCCCCTGCTTGTCAATGTCATAAAAAAAAACAACAATTTTTTTGATGTTTTTACAGACTTTATTCAAATATTCATGAAAAAAGTAAAGAAAAAAAAACATAATACATGTACTATAACGAAGCTGTGACGTGAATTTAAACCTTAATATTGTATTGTAGAGGGTGAACAGGATTTTTATCTTCTTCAATCTTTTTTGAGACATCTGCTGCTTCAGCTTCAGTGATCCCGCTACTTGGATCATGTAATTTACAAAGATCAAGATGTTCAGGATCACACCTGGTATTTACAATATTTGTATTTTGATCATCAGGAAGAAGGTTAACAGAATTCAAAGGAAGGTCTCTCACTGCATTTGTAGTTTCAACCAAGTTTATGCCATACACGAGAACACAAACAAAGATGAGCATGATGCTTCCCTTCCACACCGCCATAATCGATAATGAATGTAAATATGATGGAATTTGAAACTACTACAATTTTTTGTTATGACAAAAATTTTGAAATTGTGTGGATATTTATATGTTTTTATAGGCCTTTTTTTGACATGAGTTGGTTCTAACTGCTTCTTTAAAAAGGGTTGAAAAAGTAAACAACCCCAACAGAGAGAAAAAAAAAAAAAAGGATTTGAGATGTGGGGTTAATATTTTTACACATTTTCTATTTTTACATATTTTCTACAATAAGGGCATCGCTATTTCTAGCTCGTGCAACGAATTAGACCTGTAATTTTATTTCATTTTTTAACGGTTAATATTTATGAAAAATACAATATGGTAAAAATTATCCAATGAGATTTTAATGGATTTTAATTCGTTAAATTTGGACTAGTAGACGAAAAGAGAGAAAAAAATCTTATCACACACTCTCTAATTGAGAATGGCATTATAATTTAGATGCATTTATCTTCTAAATGGATAGTAGATTAATAAAACAAATTGATCAACGTTGTCATGAACAAATTAAAATAAAAAATTTTGCAACCATCAATTAACATTATTGAATTATAACTATAGTAATGGATTATCACTACTGGATATCACCTTTAAGAGGATCTTGTTGTATTTGCTTTTTTGATGAGGTTCATATCATGCCAATCATAAGAAAACTAATAAAAATGAACTTGATTTGTCTCCAGATAACCATAATTGATAATGAAAGTAGATATGATAAGGTGTGAATAACCAACTCCTATTAAAAATGATTGATTTTACAGTGTGGGGTTGGCATTTTGCCAGCTCCAATTTGTCTCTATTTTTACATGTCTTGTTTATATTTTCCATAACAAATCATCTTCGTTGTGTTGAATTTAG